ATGGTTTAATCTATGTATATATAAGGCTATACCAGCGTGTGAATGATGTGACCAGATTCTCACCCATAGCGTGATCCTCCCACATGATGAGAAGTACAAGTCCAGTAACGATATAACACTAATAACCGAATAGTATAACAAATAGGGATGTCATTCCTTTGGGGGATAAACACTACTATATACTACTGTACTATTCCATCATATTCCATCAATATACCATTCATTGAGTACCATCGATGATTGAATATGTATATATATATATATATACTGTACAGTATATTATATTGTACATTATATATATATATATATGCACATCATTACATATGATTACTATATATATATATATATATATATATATAGTCCCGAGTCAAAATTGTGTATGGAACGTTCCGCGGTGTTCCGGACGTATGGAACCAAGGGGCTTCGTAACTGGTCTTGTTCCGGACCTTTGGAGTGTGATGAAATATAGGCTATACATAAATAAATAAATAAATATATATATATATACATTATATGTAACACATATAATATACATCTCAAAGATATGCACGTTGAAGCTACTCCTCATCTGCACGACATCCTTGTTGTACACCTGTTCAACGCAGGTTTGCCTTGCATGGCTAGTGCTCGTGCACTAGATACGACACGACCGGTAGCCAGTGTCACCCACTGGCTACCATGTGAAGCTGTCGGCTCAGCTTCAGACCTGTCACGCAGGTCCCAAAAACTCAGAGGTCCCTATGGGGTAGAATGCGTCCCTGCATAGCAAGACTCTACCCTCCCATAACCCACGCGCAAAGGATGGCTTACGAGCAGTCTATGTGAGAACCTGCCATGCGTTCACCAGTGGGTCAGGGGTGGTACATGGGTGGTCCAGGTCTGGAACGGGTATGGAACAGTATGGAACGGGGTCTGGAACGAAACGGACCACTCCAGCACAGCACTGCCACCACGCAGCACATCTTTATCAATATTCGCAGTTTGGAGCGAGAATAGCGCAGCAAGCAATTCTTAGACTGCCAGCTGGCAGCAGCCAAGCGCATCTCTACAATCAAACACCACAGCTGTGCCACAGCCTGCAGCAACTTTAAGTGGTGCAGGCACAAACCTGCCACAGGTTGAGAGGGAGGGAGGGTTACAAGCAATCCATTCTTAGACTGCCAGCTGGCAGCAGCCAAGCACATCCCTACCATCACACAACAAAGTAGGTAGCAGCTGTAAGTGCTGCAGGCACAGACTTGCCAACACAATCACAGGGCTTGGGCATAGTAAACGTATTCTTGCATGTATGCACGCATGTAGGTACGTGCGCTCATATATGTGCGTACAAATGTAAAATCAGATTGCACATAATCGAATATATATATATATACAATGAAATATATATATATATATATATAAATAATAATAATATATAATTATATAATATATAATAACGTATGGATCAGAGGTATGGAACAGAGGTATGGAACGGATCCTTCAAGGAGGTATGGAACGGGGGTATGGAACGGGTGTGGTCCCGGAGCTTGTTCCGGACCTCCTATTTTGACTTGCCCCCATATATATATATATATATATCATATTATTGCATTACATTAACATTTTGGGATCCAAACCATTTCTCCTGTTTCACCCGAAAAAGCTATTCATGCCGCCCACCTTTTCGGTCTCACAGAATCTCGTGAGGGGTTGGGCAGCGTTGCAACGCTTGCACCTGGGTGGTTTGCAAAACGAAGGGGTCACGAAATTCCTCCGAGAGGTTTGAGTGACTGGGGCAAAACAAAATAGAACGAAGATATAGGTTTGTATGGAATTGAATGGAATTGAGTCATCTTGTTTCAATTTTCAATGGCATCCACGGATGCATTTGGTATGGTTTAAACGCCGTTTAAAACATGACATGTTGAAATGATAAAATGGACACACCGCCATTTTATGATAGTTGGACCCAAACAAATTGGCCAAATGACTCCAACTATATCTGGTTGGTGGTTTAAACCCCTCTGAAACATATTAGTCAGTTGGGATTATCATTCCCAATATATGGAAAAATAGAAAATGTTCCAAACCACCAACTAGATATAGATGGAAGCAGGCTAAATATCTCTGCTTTAAGCGGAAATTCGTGGCTTAAACTGGGGTAGAGAACCCCACTGATTCTTGTGGCAGGGCTGTTTGTTGCATGAAATTATTGGTAGCTTAAGATCATCAAGGAACTCATAGCGTTCAGAACTGTACAGAGCTGAAAGACATGCGATGCACATGAACCGTCAGTTTTTTTTTGTTCGGTGTCCTCAGCTTGCATACTTTGCCTCAAATTGCCAAGAAGTGGGTTCAAATAAAGCACACCTAGACACAAATAAAAAAAAACAAACATATGGGTTTGTCCGAACATTGGTTATACCTCCAAATGGCATCAAATGGCCATTTTAATTAGAACATGTTGTAACATGACGGTTTAATTTTCCAAATTCTTGACCCCTCCAAATGGTGTCGACTGATTTTGACAAAAGGAATTCAAACTTGATTGTAGCGGGAAAAACTGGAGGAGACAATTCTATATATGTAATTTTGAAATCTGAGAGTGTCCTGTCATGTGCCTGAAGTCAACCCCCATGACTTGACTATTTTGACTAATGCTCAATATCTATCAATGACGGGTTCTGCACATGGTCATTACCTTTTTTGGTTTTCCTAGGTTTTCCTATGTTTTCCTAAGTACTGCTGGTTTTGGAGTCCCGCTTGGCTTGGCCATTGTGGGTTTGTCCTCCATTCCGGCTGCGTCATCCAGTCTGTGCTGCTAAAGACTTGAAAGACTTTCTCTCCCCATGTGTGCAATGAATCTTGGCAGAGAACATGGCAAAACATTGAAAAAAGCATGACACATGTATTCCCCAAACCAATACATGCCATGCATTCCCAAGTACATTATCCAAATTTCTCTCGGCAAAACATGGCAAAGCAATCATTTTGAGCTACAAAAGTTACCGCTTCTGGCTGGACTATAATTAATTCACAAAGCTGAAGATGAGAATACTTGGGTGAATTCACCCTTTCCAAACTGCGCTGCTCCTCAGTTGCCTCCTTACTCTTTTCCATATCATCGCAACTCTTCTTCAGGTCAGCAAACCTACGGCCTTCTTGGTCACGGTGGGAAGGCCTCTGTCACTTTCCCTGGTTTTTGTATGTTTTTGTTGAGGTTCTTCCCCCAAGCCTCGCGGGTTGCACTGCTCTCCTCAGTCTGTTGACTGGGAAAACAAGGCACTTGCATCTGTTGCGCTCCCCTCACATTCACCATGATATCTCATGAGGTCGTCCCTTAAACCAACAGCTGAAACCAATTCCGGCCGGATAGATCCCATTGGTAGCTGGGAAAGCCAACCCCAGCCTCACCAGTTCTCAGTAGTTGATTTGGGCCTTATGCCATGTTTTTTTTCCTCCTTGAAAGTTCTCTGGGATTTTTGGTGAGTAAACCCTCCAAAGTCAAGGTGGCTTACAAACCATATTAGACCATATATTATACCACCATATTAGACCACATATTAGACTATATTAGGTCATATTAGGTCATATTAGGTCATATTAGGTCATATTAGGTCATATTAGGTCATATCAATCCATATCAATCCATATCTTAAACCATATCAATTAAACCACATGAAAAGTGTCGGCCCAGTCATGTTCCATCGCCCAGTGACCGCGGCTCTCATCTGAGAAGTTGGCCATCTCCAGTGTCCTGAAAAATTCGGTTTTCGCTGGAGAAATCTATGGCAACTCTCAACAAATGTAGACAAAGAGTCAACTACAATGTCCCATATGCTCCATGCAAGGTGGTGCCCCAGTTCGGAATCGCTAAGTTGGTGAACATAACTCCAATAACTATATGGTTTATGGTAGATATATCGAACTAGTTATATACTATGGTTCATAAACTAACTTATAACTGGGGGGGCACCACCTTGTGGTGCTGGTATATTTACCTACAAAACTAGGTGATTTTGGACAAGGGCAAATGTTGGTGTGCATATTCCAGCACCATGGGATGCATATGGGTGTATAGGACCCAAAAGATAGAACAGTGACTCATTACTGTACTTACTATATATTTTGGTGGGATTTGACACGCATATTTTTTTTTGATTGCGATAAATTTGACCTTTTCTATCGTTTTCTGGTGGGGTGAAATGTACAAATAGTGTGGCAGTTTCTTAGGTTCATTCTATGTGTCGTTCCCATGAAAGCGCGTTGGGGGACCTTGCGAATCTAGCATCTTGGATTAAAATGTCACCATTTTTTTGGGATGGGGAGACCCTGCCGTTTGGACGTGGAATGCACCAAACATGATGATACCACATATACTGTACTCGGACATCACTGGCAATCAAATAATAACGGTTCATCAAATGTCCTGAAAATGTTGGTGTTTTCGCATGCTGCATAGAATATCGGTTCATCAAATGTCCTGAAAATGTTGGTGTTTTCGCATGCTGCATAGAATATGGGATGTCGCCAACCACAGTGGTGCTTTTTTTCGCTATGGGCAGGGCCTCGAACCAATCTATTCAACCCTACCAATGAAAGGGCCAAGTTCCTCAGACATCTGTGCAAGTGACATATATGGCTGGGCATGATTCCCCTCATCCACCATGATTCCAGTGAGGTCACGACGTGAGGTCACGAACTAATATCCTTAACATATCCAGCACTTGTACGCCATGGTTATTCAGAATGGTAAGAGGATCAAGTTTAAGTTTCTGAGGCCAAAACGGCGCAGCTCGCCGTGGGTATGTGATTCGTACAAGCTGGGGCGTCCCCGTAGGGTTTCTGCGGGATAGCTTTGGTTGATGGGGTTTATAAACGAACCAAAAAAATGGCCGCACCACCTTTCAACCCCTGTGAATGCTCACTGGTTTTTACAAGTGCATGGATAAACTATATGATAAACTCCCAATCTTGTAGGTTGATTCTTGCTACCCTCTGATCATTTCATGTTTCTCTGGCTAACTGGGATCCACATCCATGTTGCTACCCCATGTTCCATCAACTTGCCTCTGCAGCACGCCTCCGAAAATCCGGGCATCCGGACCCCGCATGTGTCGTCTGCCGATGTAGCGGCCGATCCTGGAGAGTTTTCTCGATGGATCTTGGATGATCTGTGGATGGAGGACCAATGGACCAATGGAGGTTTCCTGCCATAGGGGTACCCTCTGGTAAACTAACATAGCTATGGAAAGATCCACCATTTTTACTGGGAAAACTCACTATAAATGGCAATTTTCAATAGCCATGTTAGTTTACCAGAGGGTACCGCCCACAGCATCCAAAATCAGACCATGACATCATGACTCTGTATTGAAACCTATGGTGACGACTGGGGAGCCTCCATTTTAGGAAACCTCCGTCTATGGGAATGGGTGAAAAAATTGAGGTTCAGGGTGCGCAACCTTTTGGGCGTACACGTCATGCCACCAGAGGTTGTCTTCAAGTTTCGGCAAGCTCAGTGGTATGGATGGGCATGAACAAGTACTTAACATTTACCATCCAAATATTTGGTGATTTTTGGGGTATCTAATTTTAACCCAAAAACTGCAGAATAAATGGTCTGTGGACTCGCTCTGTCGAAACCAAAAAAAATATATACTCAGTTGGGAATATATGGGGATACACAGTAGTGGGGATACACTATCCCCAAACTAACCAGACGACCCTGAAATGATTTTTGGGGTGTGGAAGAAAATTGTTTCCTCTGAAAATTGCCACTTCTCAGGATGCAATCCACGAGATGCCAGCTCTTCTTCAAGCTATATGCCAGCAAATATGGGACTAAGCCAATCACACTACGGCGCCGTGCCCCATGTACCCGTTGACTTACAAGTTGGCGAATATTAATTAAACAACCATATATCGAGTTTCCCATATTACTCGCCGTTTGTATACCAACTTCAGGACCAGAAGGGAGATCCTGACCGGCTTCCCAACACCTGGAATGGTAGCTGTTATACTACATGGGGTTGAACTTTCAAGGCTTTTCAAATTTTAGGGAGGCATTTATTACACATGTATATCTACTACAATGTACATGACGATCAAATTGATGAAGATCCACCTTTAACCAATCATGCAACGAGGATATCTCAGCAATTTTCCCCCATGAGACATCTGCGTGCAACTTGTTCGAAGCACAGCCTCGGGGATGGTTCAAAACTAGCTCCAAGAATGATTGCGGTTCCATTGATATATGTTGATAATTGGGAATTGGTTTATAGAATTTCAATGTTTCTGAAACTAGAACATATATATATATATATATTTGATGTTCATAGTTAATATTAATCCATGGGTTTATAGCTCCATTCTAACGTATATAAACGAATCTAAGCCTAAGCAGGAAAAAGGCATGAACATGATCGCTGATGTAATTTTCACCAACCAGTACTTGTGAGGGAATTTTGTAATATAGCAACCCTCAAAAGATAGAACAGTTAATTTATCAAGTTTAGCATTTTTAGTAGGATTATCTTCTCTATCTTTTAGAAGTTCCTATGCAGTGCAAATTATGTTTTGTCGATAACATCGCCACCCAAACTCAATTCTTACTGGCTACCCTCGGGTACACTAACATAGCTATGGAAAAAAAAACACCTACTTTAATAGGTAGATCATCTACAAATGGGCTATTTTCAATAGCTATGTTAGTTTGCTGGAGGGTAGGTCCAGTAAAATTTCCCCATTCGTTTGGGCTGCCGCCTGTCGGTCAAAGCTGGCTTCGCTCCTCAGAGTCTGGCTGTTGGATGACCAGGTTCCCTAACCTTCACACAGCAATAGCAATGTATAGATGTATACATATCACACACATGTATATATATATATATATACCCATATTATACACAATTATGACAATTATGATCAATTAATTATGTATACGTGTATATAATTATATTTGATGATTGTGTAAAATATGTATAATTGTGTATACATAATTGTGTATACATAATTGTGTATACATAATTGTGTATACATACAAATATGTATGTATAAAAATATGTGTATATATATATATATATTATATATGAAAACTATGTAAATCAACATTGAAGTTTGGAAGTATGTCATGCTCTTAAACACAACATGGGTTTTGAGACATTGTAGGCTTTCTGGTAGTGTCTGATAGTATAGAACCGGGAAAATAGCAGAAATGTGAACCGATTATATTTGGGGATATTTTTGTGGGATATCATTTTCCCATTTTTCAGATACACCATGATACACCCCATAGATCCATATGGGGGAAATGCTCAAACACCATCCCGGAACTCTGCTAGAAACCACATCAAACAATGGGCACCATCCGGTAGGATGGTTGCGAAATCCTGCACCACCTGGGATGCTATAAAGCCTATATATATATAAATAATGGGATGTTTACCACCTATTCACTGGTGCGAGATTTCGCAACCATCCACCATATGTATCCAGGAATGTCCCATATTGGTATTGACTCATGGCTTCATATTCACCAATGTGTGCTGGTCTCTTTTACTTTTTTTCTTGGTGCTTAAGTTGATTCAATCCCAAAGAGTTTGGTTGAATACCCTATGTCATATTTAAATTCCCATGTTTGCTGGTTCAATGAACTCACATCTGTCTGTCTAAAAACCTCATTTCCTCCAATTGGGTGGGTAAACATATCAAAAACTATGGTAAACCCACTGTAAACCCAATACAAAACCCAACTATCCCCTAAATATTACCATAAATGGGTTGTTAAACCATCCCCGCACGGTTCATTGACTTTTCGGTTTTTTACCACATAAAATCAGCACAGAATTGGCAGTTCAATCCCCGTTCTCTTGCAACATCTAAATCGAACTTCCCCGTTCTCGGCCAGGGAACAAGTGGGAGCCACTTCGCAAGTTTCGGTGCGGTAGGTTGGAGTCGGAGGAAGACCTTGCAGCCACTGAAGAGAACTTGGCCACAGGGTGCCGCCCCAGTTGTGTTTGTTGGTTTATAACCACCATTCACCGTAGATATATCTACCATAAACCATAGCTGGTTGGTGGTGCAATAACCATCTTGAAAAATATGAAAGTCAGTTGGGATGATTATTCCCAATAGATGGAAACATATAAAAATGTTCCAAACCACCAATCAGATAGATATTGGACTTATGTTCACCAACTTAGCTATCTCGGGGGCCCGACCCTTTAAGTTACCAACAATGGAGAGTGAACTATCAAGAATACAGGGATTAAATGACCGGTGTGAGCAACATGATATTTGGGTGTGTCGGAAAATTGGCTATGCACCATCAAAAATCAGGGAACACGCTGAAACATGCTGGTTTATTGATGAACAAATATTGGAACTGAATCCATGAATAATGGAAGCGGGCAGCGGATGTGTCTGAACATTGGGTATATCCGACAACCTGCGATTTTCTGAAGGGAAAGTGATGAGAAGAGAATAAACAACTGTGAATTTTGAGGTACCCTATGTTCTTATTTGATCTCCCGCTAAGAGTTCAAGTTTGAGTATGTTATGTGATAAATCCATGTAACCCGAAAGCACTAAAACCAAAGTGTTCAAATACAGCTTTACTACTACAAGGTGGCTCCCTTGAAATACATTGCAACTAAAAAATGATTGGGATTTACAATGGAGAAATTGGACACATCCGCAGTTAAGATGGATTGATAAAGCAAACGCCACAAGTGGGGTCATCTGTGTCAGGCCTAGGACTTAGCGGGGCTTATCATCAACTCAATTGAAACTTCCGTTTTGTTTTTGTTCAATAGTTCACCTGAAATTTTCTTTCATCCAACATGAAACACCCAGAAAAAAATCAATGGATTAAATCACATCTAGTTGGGACCGTTCTGAAACCGGCTGTGTTTCTTTTCGTGTTCACTCTTCAGGGGGGATGAATTTCACCACTGGGGGATGATGGTAATGACACCAATAACTTGGGTAAAATGGTAGATATATGGTAGAGATATTTATACTTCATGGTGGTTATAAACTTATAAACTTTTATAAACATAACTGGAGGGGGCACCACAGACTGTTGGTCCCGTTAACCAAGTCCTAATCCCAATTTCTTGGCATTTGTTGGTATAAATATATATATATATATATATATTTATATATATATATATATCATATAATCTCTAAAAGGTACTGCACAAAAATATAGAAACACGCACATTGATTTTGGAATGATCTTGGAGATTCTTGAATTCACTCCGTTTTCCTGTGACCCTTCGGCCCTCAAAAACACATCGTTAAACCGTGGCGGAGCCGACGCTGAGTCGTCGCCCTTTAAAAAGGCGGTCGCCAAGTGACATCTGTGACCAGATGCGCGGGCGTTCATCGGTGGTGCCAGTCTCAGATCCGCGGAGATCGTCCTCGGGAAGAGGGGTTCTGCGTCACGAAAAAACCATGCTTCAAACGAAAAACTATATATATATATATGTATGATATATAGATATATAGAGAGAGATGAATATTAATATATAGTATTAATATAATATAGATGTATATTGTCCAAGAAGCGATTTGTGCATAATGTATATCTGTGTTATTTCTTGATTCCACTTTCGATCCCCCAAACTCTGGTTTTCGTTGGAAAAGACGGGGCGACCAATTTTACATTAACATTTCCTATTACACAAGAATCATCAAACATCTAGGAAATGAGGTGTACGAACATCACCAACCAACATAGTTTTCCTATTGACTTTTCTATTACTCCACATGTTGGCTTTCCTGGTTGAAATATTATGATATATAGCATATTCTACCGTATTCTTGAATTGTCTTCTCCATATCTTCCCCATTGAACAGTGTTCAAAACCCAGCGTCATTCCATGAAATATGGCTTGAAGATGGATGGTTGAAGGGATTCTCACCATGGTGTCTGACAATCCCCAACTAAGAGTGGCTAGTATAACCTGCGGCAGATCATCATCAACGAAGCTGCGGGGTTTTCTTCGCAGCAACAGCAAAAAAAAACGAGGCAATTCTTCATATCCTAATCCTGGAATATGATCCGCCCAATTTATACCAGGTAAATCACATGTTTTTTTCGTTCCCGTTTTTGGATCGTCCTATACAAATGGGGCAGTTCTTTCGGGTTGGTGTCGCCATGGTGAACTCAACCCCATAAGTTGGGAATCACATGAAACAAAACCATTCCTGATTCCTGATACAAAGGGCGGTCCTTGCTGCCAATGCAATCCTTGCAAGAATCTCTCGAATTATGAATTAGGTAAAATTTTAGGTACCCTGGTAATCTGGCAGCCATGTGGTATTGGTACGCAAGGCACTGCATTGTTCTTCAGTTACCTGCAACCATTCCAGAACCTCAGGGTCCATGTCTGTACTGGCCCTACACAGGCGTTGTCTTTGGCTGAAATTGATTTGATCAATCACTGTACCCGCCAAAGCATCGCAAAAATGGGAAGGGTATTCCTTGTGGGCTGATGTTCTAAATTGTCCATTGGGCCCTACGCCAATCGCGACCTCCTTGGGTGCGGCCGCGTCGGCTTTCTGCCTGCTGTGCATGGATTTACCAAATCGTGGGAGTCGCACCGCTAATAGGCCGGTTGGCTTACTGACTGTGCATCCCCATTTCCACTGCGCAACAACATGTAGGGCCACGTCAGGATGGGTTCGCAACAATTTGATCCAAGGGGTCAACCAGATGCTGGCTGGTGGGGCTGGGTGTTCACTTAAGTAGATTCCACCCGTGCAGATTGCCCATGCAACTGTGATGGTCATTTGCATGAAGAACAGGGAGCCTTGCTGGAGCTGGCGCAACTCACGGAAACTCAGTTGAGCTCTTCCAAACAGTCGGATCCTGTCTCGTAAGGGTCTCGGCTGCCCTGGCAATGGATTCCCTTCTTCATCAACCAAAATATGGTGTCTTGCCGCAGACCACGTTTCACAAGGCGCATCAGTAATGGTGGCTGCAATCCTGCCCTCCTCGTACAAGCGCAAAAGATTGCGCCATGTGATCGATGCATGATGTAAATCCCCATATGTGGTCGAGTTGGCCGTGTCTAAGGACAGCACTAATATCTGGACTCCAGCTTGATTGGCCCAGTAGTGCAGCCTTTCATGTACATCCCCAGTCCTTCTCCGCCCACTAAAGAGGTGGGCAATGATGAAAAGAGGAGGTTCTTGTGGCCGCTTAAGAAATGGCAACAACATTACTCGTGGTAAATCAAGCCATTTTGCAGTGCCGACTTGCTCAAAGAAAATTGCCTGCGTCTCAAACAGACTGTCTACCTTGGCTGCATGCACTGCTCTCTCTGCGACATTTGCTGTTGCACGTCGGACTGGTCGATGGGGGAAAAACCGCTCCCCTTCTGCATCAAACTGTCTCAGTCGAGCTTCACATTGGGCAATCTGCCGCAGGATCTGCTGTCGAGGAAAATCATCAATCATGTTGGCATATGCTTCATCTACTAGTCGCTCTGCAGCTCCATCAACAAAATTTGCAATGAGATCTGCTAGGTGGTTCTGCCCCCAGGCCAGTATTTCTGCTTCAATCCACTCATCGATCCCATCTTCAAATTGAAAAAGAACTGCAAGCCACAAATCTGGTAAGTCTGCCGCCAAGTCTTCATCAAAACCTTCTTGGCAGAACCGTTCAAACCAGTCTGAGGTAGTGGTCGACAAGAAGCTACACAGACGTTGCCTGGTGTCAAAAGGCTCATCAGGTGTCCTGTCAACTTCCAGGTTTCGTTGTAGGTGCGCAATCTGTTCCAGAATCTTATTCCTAACTTGTTGACGCTGGACAGCAGGAGGCTGAAGTGGTCCAGCTGTCTGCTGTGTTTCAACTCTTCCTAGTCCTCGCACCTCTATGGGCAGCTGCTGGAAGGCTCCTGCAACAAGGTCAGCTTTGAAACCCTTCTGCCGTAACGCCTGATAGCATTGGTTTACCTGCGTTCGTCTGGGAATATACGAGAGGTGTTGGTGCAGACGCTGTTTGGACCAGAAATGGCGTAAACATTCAGGACAAACACCCTAAGTCTCGAAAGTTAGTAATTTTACTCGCCCTGAATTTTACGTAAAATCGACTGTTTTACTAACGTTATTTTACGTAAAATTTTGATAACGTTAGTAAAATTTACTAACGTTAGTAAAATTTTACTAATGTTAGTAAATGATTTTACTAACGTTAGTAAAATTTTGCATGTTTTAATGCATGATGAAAAATATGTTTGTTTTGCATTTTTTTCGATGGATTTTGTTCTTTTTTGGATGTGTGTGGTTGTGGATTGTGATGATTTGGCTATGAATGGGGTCTTTCCGCTGGAGGATTTCAATCGATATGTTGCTGTTTCTGTAGTAGAGTGTTTAAGAGTTACTTTACTTGAGATTGCACTGGAGACTACTTGAGACTTTATTTGAGGTGTCTTTGATACTTGCGCGAGACTATACTTGAGATTTTATTTGTTTTTTTGTGTGAAATCATGTTTCTATCTATCTATCTATATATATTATATTGCTTGTGACTGTACCAAAAGGTTTACAGTAATCCTGAAATCAAATACCAAGACAATGCATGAAATCCATTGGTGCACTGCAGTGGCTTGCAAAACTCATCTCAAGAACAGAAGAAAATTCTTTCAGGATAGGTGAATTAGAATATATATATATATATATGTATGGAATTTACTTTGGGACCTACCTGGTGCAAAATAAGCATATGAACATACAGACTGGATTTACATAAGTATAGATGAAGCCACAAAAAGAATTTACATTGGATCTTGACTTTAAGAAGTCATTGCAAAGCATTTACATTTGCAAAAAAAAAAATCTAGATATTTTCTTTGGTAAATGAAACTTGGTGAAATCTCAAAGATAAAAAAAAAATGTCCATGGGAACTGAAGACATGCCTGTTTCAAGACTCAATTTGAAAGGAAACTCATAGATTCTAGCGGTACTTTTTTGTCTCATCAAAAAAATGGAGAAGGTCTGGATGAAATCCTTGTAAACCTTTGGCTGGCTTGAAAGGATACAGCCAAGAAGTCTTAGTGAGACCCAACCTTCTTAACTCAGGTATGCTTGCTACAAACATTGATCAAATTACATAAAAATTTGCCCATGGGGTCTGAAGACTTGCCTGTTTCAAGACTCAACTTAAAAGGAAACTCATAGACTCTTGTGGCATTTTTTTCTCATCAAAAAAATTTGGAGAAGGTCTGGATGAAATCTTTGTAAACCTTTGGCTGGCTTGAAAGGATGCAGCCAAGAAGTCTTAGTGAGACCCTTACTCCACTTTCAATTCCACAGGGGAATTTTATTTTTTCATCTGTCTAAAGATGCTTTTTCAGAAAAATGCTTGAACATGGTCAAAAACATGATGCACTTTTGGTGCACTTTTGATGCACTTTTGATGCACTTTTGATGCACTTTTGATGCACTTTTGATGCACTTTTGGTGCACTTTTGATGCACTTTTTGATGCACTTTTGATGCACTTTTAAAAGTGATACACTTTTGGTGCACTTTTGATGCACTTTTGATGCACTTTTGATGCACTTTTGATGCACTTTTGATGCACTTTTGATGCACTTTTGGTGCACTTTTGATGCATTTTTGCTGCATTTTTGATGCACTTTTGATGCACTTTTAAAAGTGATGCACTTTTGATGCACTTTTCCTTGTTTTTGATGCACTTTTGATGCACTTTTGAAAAGTGCATCAAAAGTGCATCAAAAGTGCACCAAAAGTGCATCATCAATTTTGAATGTTTTCTTAGGAAATGGAAACAAAATCCAAAAAAATCTTGAAAAATGTATGCAGCAAGTGCCAAGTCAGTTCACTGGAGGCAAACCTGGGCAAAGTTCACTGGACGCAGTCTCCAGTCACCTCAAGTAAAGTTCACTGGATGCAGGCTCAAGTAAACTCAATCACAGTTGACTGGATGCAGTCTCAAGTAAACCCAAGTAAAGTTCTCTGGGCGCTGTCTCAAGTAAATTCGAGTAAACAAAGAGGATGCAGTCTCAAGTAAACTCAAGTAAAGTTCATTGGATGCAGCCTCAAGTAAAATCAAGTAAAGTTCATTGGATGCTGTCTCAAGTAAAACCAAATAAAGTTCATTGGATGCAGTCCCATGTAAAGTTCAATGAATGCAGTCCCAAGTAAAGTTCATTGGGGGCAGGCTCAAGTAAACCCAAGTAAAGTTCATTGGATGCTGTCTCAAGAAAAACCAAATAAAGTTCATTGGATGCAGTCCCAAGTAAAAAATCAATGAATGCAGTCCCAAGTTAAGTTCAATGGGGGTAGGCCCAAGTAAAGTTCACTGGATGCTGTCCCAAGTAAAGTTCAATGAATGGAGTCCCAAGTAAAGTTCAATGAATGCAGTCCCAAGTAAAGTTCACTGGATGCAGGCTCAAGTAAACTCAAGTAAAGTTCATTGGATGCTGTCTAAAGTAAAATCAATTAAAGTTCATTGGATGCAGTCCCAAGTAAAGTTCAATGAATGCAGTCCCAAGTTAAGTTCATTGGGGGCAGGCTCAAGTAAAGTTCACTGGATGCTGTCCCAAGTAAAGTTCATTGGATGCAGTCCCAAGTAAAGTTCAATGAATGCAGTCCCACGTAAAGTTCATTGGATGCAGGCTCAAGTAAACTCAAGGAAAGCTCTCTGGATGCAGTCTCAAGTAAACTCAAGTAAAGTTCACTGCATGCAGTCTCAAGTAAACTCAAGTAAACATGTATCTATATATATATATATATTTGGGTGTCTATACTGGGCAACATGCATCTTGTGACCATATATATGGAACGTAGGTTGAGGCGCAGAACCGTGACAGTCATGGAAAACGTGGTGAAGCACAAATCAAGTAGATATAGTGGGAGAATAGATTTCAACAAGTGTCCTGAAATACTGTTTTCAGAGCTCAAAAAAGGGCTAGTTGGGACACTTTTTGAAAACATATGTCAATTCCTCTCACAAAAAAAATGCATATAAATTCAGAAGTAAAAAACTACAAAAGCCAAGAAACCGCAAAAGCCAACGAGCCAAATCAATGTCAAGTACATACCTTCAACATGTATTACATTGACTTTATTTCATAACATCTTTTTCTTCAGAAATCGCTTGCTATAGGAAGATGATTTTACTTCAGAACATTTACTTTTACTTGAGAAGTCACTGGGAGAAATTTCATTTTTCTTTCATAGTATTAACATTTTGCAGCAAAGGACATATCCTTTTACAGGTTCCACATGCTAATTTCTGCACATTCCTCAACAATATTTGGACATTCCTTCTGCCTCCTGTATCAAATTCAAGGAAATTCGAAAAACTATCACACATCTCTTGGCGCATTCTTGATGCACTTTTGATGCACTTTTCCTTTTTTTTACATTTTACTAATTTTGCAAAAATCAACAAAAAAATTACGTAAAATCTTCTGGATTAGTAAAATTACTAAATTAGTAAAATTACTAGCTTTCGAGACTTAGGGCAGTTCCTTCAACCAGATCGTGCTCCAAGGAGTATTCCTGGTGTTTGTGGCGACGATGTGTCGCCAACCCTTGCGCTGTGGCGAATTGTCGTCCACAATGACAGGAAAAAGTACAAGGTCTGTCATCAACCTGGCCCTGTGGAGTTGGATCGAATGTGGCGTTCCCTGCCTTGGTCAGTACATGGAAAAATTGCTTATGCAGGCCAATGAGATCATTCATCATGGTCTCTTGTCGCACAAATCGTTTCCATGCTCGCTTCACAAATGTTTTCCAGTCTGATCCACCAGCTTGCCAATCATCAATAAGATCCGTGAGATCACAATGACTTGGGTCTGCAACTGCGCTCAAAGGGAGAAGCCTCGTAGGTTCCAATTTGCAAAGCCATTGCAGATCATATTTGAGTCCCAGGAGCCAGGAGTCCTGCGTAAGTGCCTCTTCTCTGTGTAGGCAGTGCTGCAGCATTTCAGGTCCATTCTGCCACAACTTTTGCGCATAGAGGAGTCTATCAACTGCTAATCGAGCTCTTGGAGAGCAGAGCTGAGCACGATGAAAAAGATCAGCAGCTGTCGTTCTTTGCACTTCCTCTGGGGTCAGCCTGAAAAGTCTGCGCAGCATGGCAATCAAGGCTGCTTGTATTTTGGCCATTTGCCTGGACGTTGGCGTTTTCCAAGCTCCTAGACCAAAGAAGAGGCGGCTTTCGATCAGCGTCTTAAACATTCGTACTCGGGTTGGCTCAGGCAAGTGCCTATTGCAGAGAATCGGCGCTGCAACTTGTGCAAATGCGCTCTTGGCCATGCCAATGCGTGTAGCAATCTCCTGGTCCATGGAGTGTGATGAACTGAAAATGGTGCCTAAGTGCTTATAATGAGCAACAAAATGCACAAAATCAGTCTGATCCCCAAAGCATATGTCCATGCCCGGTCTGGTGCAGAGTTGGTATTTAGCACGCATCAATGGTGCCCCTGGGCCTCGGAATGTGGCAACAACACTTGTCTTCCCTTTTTCATATTGAGAGTGAAGCCTCGTCTGGAGAAGATCTTGTGGGCAGCAACTAAGATAGTCTCAATGGCTGCCGGGAGATCTCGTGCTTCTTCCGTGGCGACTGGGATAGCCACATCATCTGCCCAGATTACACTTTCAACATGGAGATCTGCTCTGCTCAGAATCTGCTGGAATGGTTCATTAGCAGCAACAATTCGGTTGAGATCCCCTGTAATGTCCGCCATCAATATGTGAAATATGCAGTCAGCCAAAGGCGATCCAGGTCTCGTCCCCTTTTTTGTGACAAGAGGGATCTTCGCGCCTGGTACATACATCCATGTGTCCGTGCGCAGGTCTTTGATCAGTTGAATCAAGAAAGGTGGTGCATTCAATCTCTGGAGCAGGCATGGCAACTGCAGCAACTCAATCATGTCCAGGTCTTGCGGGACTGAAACACCTGATACAAGTTCCCGAACTAACCGGTGGAAGGCATTGCTCAAATCCAGGAAAACAATGGCTGAAGATACATCCATGGCATCCATCAAACGTCCAAATGTTTGGAGGAGCTGGGAACCAAAGGGAACCTGCATAGCAGGAAAACCACCCAGCTGCCCTTGAGGTTTGGTGGTGCTCAGCAGACTCATCAGCCGCATTCGCAGCATTGCGTAGGTGCGTTTTGCCAATGACGGCAGTAACATGATCCCACGGTAGTCTGAGGCCTGGAGACCAGTCCCTCGTTTGTAGATGACTGCAATCTCACCTCCTTTGGAGGCCACTGGTTCATGTTGCCACATACAAATTTTGAGCAAGAGTGGGAAATAAACTGTGGCAATTTCAGTAGCCCATTCACGGAAGATGCCTGATGGCAATGGGTCCAGTCCTGTGGCTTTCTCTGCGTGGGTCTCCCGCAATGCATCTTCGAGCTCCAGCACCGAAGGGAGATCAGTGATGGAGAAATGTGTTTGCACAATGTCTGCTGCAAGCTGTCGATTATGGCAATCAGCGACAATATTGATGGGTGCTTTCTGCGTTCCACTTTCCAATTGCATGAAGTAGGGTTCCCATTGGTCATGAAGAATCTCAAGTTTATGTGGATCTTGACCCATCCTGCGATCACGAAACTTGGGCAGGCTTCTACGTAGCACTTTCCAAAATTCTCGTGTCTGATGTGGTCCAAGAAATTCTGACACTTCCTGTGTAAGGTTGGCAAAAAAATTAACATCATCCTGACGGATTGCTGTTGTGACTTGCCTACCTATGCTACGGAAGGAGTGCAGTGAGATTGCAACATCTTTGTCCTGATCCTTCAACATGCAATCAAACTCGGAAATCTGATCAAATGGCATGCCTCCATGTAGTGAGCACTTCCATGCCGCAAAACACATGGCAGTCTGAGTTTGTCTCTGGATGTGCTGATGCTCAGCAAGGAGCTTCCGCCACTTCTGCTTGTGCTGGATAAGTGCCGTGGCTTCCTGCTGGAAGCTCGTGTGTGTCGTTGGCAGCAGCCTAGCAGGGCATCTTGCATTTGCCAAGCATGGGTGTGTACATCAAGGTCGAAAGACAGTGCTGCTTTCTTGGATAACTCCTGAAGGGCAGAACCGTCAAATCGCTCGCTCTTCAGTTTCGGTTGCTTCTTATGCCGTTCATCATTGGAGCATTTTGTCTTCCATGTGAGGCGAGCAAATAGAGGCCTGTGGTCCTCTTTAACAAGAGAAAAGTCAATTTCTTCAGGGATCCAAGTTGCACAGACTTGTAGCGGGAGAGAGCAGCTAACTCCAATGTAATCATTCCTTTTCCAAGTGCCATCATGATGTATAGCCATGTCCCACCAAGTCCAAAGTGCGAGTTCTCAAATGTACTGGGTAGGAAAAGATCATGCACTGCAAGGAAATCAACGAAGGGTTGGCTTTGTCATGCATACCTTCAGATTGCCAGTCACCAACTCTTCCATCTGGCTGACCACCAATTCGGCAATTGGCGTCCGCAAGCAGAATCTTTGGCCATGTGTCAAATCGCTGGGGGATTTGGGCACTTGCTGATTCCCAGTACATTTCAATGTCATGCTGTGTGGCACCAGTGTGAGGAGCATGTGCAGCCATGAGAACGCACTTGAGGGCATTGGTCTTAACTGCAACAATGAGCAGCCTGGGTTCAGCGACTAAAATGGAAAAATCAGTTTCCGCAAAGCATATCGGTGTCTCATTGTTCCAGCTATATGGATGAAGTTTGGATAAGCCAATCATCATGCCGAAATGTCCATGGGCTGCTGCGGCACTCTGAATCAAATGGAATCTTGGGTCATGGTGCTTCCAAACTTTCTTGAGACGTGTCTCTTGCAAAGCAAAAACGTGAATGCCATGTTCATCAAGCGTTTCAAATATCCATTCCTGTCTGGTAGGTCCAGCTGCACCAATTTGGAGGATCCGATCTGTATGCCTACTATGCTGCAGAGTGAGGACGTTACAGGTGGCAAGATTCAGGTTGATCATAACACCCTGGGGACTGCTTACAGAGTGCTGGACTACTGGGATGACATCAGGCTCAGGGGTTGTGGCCGGCTTGGCAGGAAAGTGCAGTGTACTATCAGCAGCCGAAACTGCCGGCATGTGTGTAAACAGCATCCACGCCCATTCCATAGCTTGGCCAAAATCTTTCACCTGTGTTTGGTGGACAAAAGGTGTCCAATCCTGCAGAGGGTGTCCTGACGCAGCTCCAAATGCAATCTGGTCAACCAATTCATTCCCAGGCTCAACTGCATGACTTGGGCAAAATCGATGTTGGATGTGAATTCCAAATCGTTGTTCGCACAGTCTAAGGATGCTACGTATCAAGTGACATGCTTTATGGTCCCAAATATGTGTAAATCCCGTCCTCAACCACACTTTCTGGCGTGTGTTTAGTGGGGGATGCGATTACAGTCTGTACCCTCTGGCCGAACACAGCGATAGAATATGGCCCATGTGTAAAGGATTCAGCAACATATGATGATTTTCAACCATGATAAATTTTCGGAGCGTATGTATATGTAAATTGTATGTACCATTATTACAATATATTGTAATTATTGAATCATTATTGATAAATAATTCAAAATTATCGAAAATTATTGATAGTGATTGTACATAGTACAGATTGTGCCCGCCCGTGACAATGCCCGTCCTACCGAATCCTACCACTACACAATTTCAGCTTGATGCCCCAAAATCTGGAAACAAGATTAAACACAAGTACTTTTTAGAAAGGATTGTCATAGCATCTTAGAAGTCTGCAGAAACATGTCATCCAAAGTCAACATATTATAACATATCCTCAATTTGGTTTCTGATCTCCATATTTCAGTTCGATATCCGAACAATGACTCCTTCGATCCGATTCTATCCCTATGGCATGATTCGGTCTCGCCAGCTCCCTATCAAAAACACAGAAAAACATAGAAAAACATGGACGGATGATGGCTGGTGTAACAACATCCAAACTTAAGCCCCTGCAGCCCCACCCAAAGCCCCAAAAAATTAGGACTGTCCATTGTTTGGACCTCACATGTTTGATCATTTTCCATCCAATTCTGTCCGATTCGAAGCTAGCCGAGACACCGAAGCTTTCGAGCTTCACTGACATCTGCAAGGCTGGCCCCTGGCTTTGCCTGGCAAACTGCGGCCAACAACTGTCCGTCAGGTAAGACCACTCGAAGACTTTGGAGTGGAACCTGCAATTCACGCGCGATGCGTTTCTGCGTATTCCAGGCAGGATCAGATGGACTGGCATTCAAACGTATCGTTTCGATTCCAGTGAGACCGGAGCAAGTCAGCAGCATAGCATCATCTTGACGAGCGCACTCTAGTTGTAACACAAGGATTTGACCAACTGACACATCTGCAACGTACCATGTCCCTGGATCAGGAGTCGGAAGGTTGCATTGTCCAGTAGTGTTCCCTCCGCAAGCTACAGCCCTGCCATCACTTCGGAGAAGTACTGTGTGCTCTTCACCGGCAGAAACCTGGGTATATGACATTCCGTCATCCAATGGTGGAATGATGCATTGTCCATGCCAATTATTTCCACACGCCACAGCATTGCCATCACATCGGAGAAGTACTGTGTGACTGGCGCCGGCAGAAACCTGGGTATATGACATTCCGTCATCCAACAGTGGAATGATGCATTGTCCGACCCAATTCTGTCCACAAGCCACAGCATTGCCATCACTTCGGAGAAGTACTGTGTAATCTTGACCGGCAGAAACCTGGGTATATGTGTGAAACTTTACTAGTGAAACATTCCGTCATCCAACAGTGGAATGGTGCATTCTCCATACGAATTCTCTCCGCAAGCCACAGCATTGCCATCACTTCGGAGAAGCACTGTGTGATTGGCGCCGGCAGAAACCTGGGTATATGAAATTCCGTCATCCAATGGTGGAATGGCACATTGTCCAGACCAATTCCTTCCACACGCCACAGCATTGCCATCACTTCGGAGAAGTACTGTGTGATCTTGACTGGCAGAAACCTGGGTATATGACATTCCCTCATCCAACAGTGGAATGGTGCATTGTCCAACCGAATTCTGTCCGCAAGCCACAGCATTGCCATCACTTCGGAGAAGTACTGTGTGATTTTGGCCGGCAGAAACCTGGGTATATGAAATTCCATCAACCAATGGTGGAATGATGCATTGTCCACCCCCGTTGCTTCCACAAGCCGCAGCATTTCCATCACTTCGGAGAAGTGCTGTGTGACACTCCATGTGCAGAATGTGTTTTTTTTGCCGGATGATTGAGGTAAAACGGCTTGAGTCAAAATGGCTACGGAAACAAAACCAGAGAAACAACAACCTCAACATATCCAATATCATCTGATGTTCTGACTCATGATTCTTTCATGATATTTCAGTACATTATCAATTCCATTCTATACCCTATAGGTATAGACTATTCAAAAAGATATCAACCTGACTGACCACTCGCCGTCCTTGCTAGGCACGCTCAATGTCGACCGGTTGCTCTCTTGCCTGGTTGCTCTGGAGGGTTTATGGCATATGGGGTTCTCAAAAGCTGCTGGAAAATCGACTAGAATCTACGAAAGCTCTGGATGTACCAGGAATGTACCAGGAATGTACCAGGAATGTACCAGTGTCATCCAGTATCCGGATGAGGAAAGCTCAAGGAGTTGACCAACATCGGAGTCGATGGGGCTCCCACCTTGCTGCCATCACGAGGCATAAGGGCTACGCGCCAAGTCACTGGAAGAATTTCCCAAAAGTCGTGACCTACCCTCTGAGAAAATCACCATTCCTAATGCTAAAATCATGATGTTGAGCATCTCTTTTCTAGGGGCCATGGCATGCCATGGCTTCCGTAGAAAACTGAGAAAAATAACTGGAGGGTAACAAGGATATAACCCCATCCAAGTGTACGTCCATGTTATAACTAGCATAAACCCGAGTCAACCCAGTTCACCAGCTGACCATGGGCAACTCCCTTTTTTAGGCGTCTAAGTTGACCATGACCCGGCTGCAGCGTGAAAAAATACTCATAGAACATCTATATGGCTTTGCAAATCAGCATTGATCATGAATGGAATCATTCAATATCAAATAATATAATATATAATAATTCATATGTATATATATATATATATACATGATATGTGTATATATATATATATAACTCACATTAAAATATGTCGAATGTGGTATTTGCCAAGCCACTTTATTAAATAATGATGCATCCTTCACATGTACGAGCCGCTGGCTGGATCCCTTCAGAGCCAGGCGCGGCGATCGAGCGACTCACAGGCGGCACCACGGGGCGTGTTTTGTGGTTGGAAAGGCTTGGCAGCTTGGTTGGAAAGACTTTGGATTCAAGCACAAAAACACCACATCTCAAGAAAACGAAAATCACAGTTGAATGAATTTAAATTTGCACTCTTTTGTGAATAAAATCATTGAAATCACCATACTTATCAGTTAAATTACTGTATGTTTGCATGTTTCTCAGTTCAATGAGCACTTCTTCTTTAGGACGCTTCCCCCAAGTCCCCAAGATATGGCAGTGTGTCAAAACCTTGTACCCCTGGTGAACATCAAAATAGCTGGTAAATGGATGTTCATCCCATTAAAAATGGTATTAATAGGTATTGACCCATACCCATATATTTTTCTTGGGTGGACCCATCAACTCTGGTAAAAAGTTCCAGTTGCTCGCTTCTCCTCTGGTCATCAGCCGCGTGGCTGGAAATTGTCCCTACAAAAACCCATGTTTTTGGCTGGAAAAAAACATCTTACACATAAATACCCATATGCAACCCATGTATTTTTGTATATTTACCAACATTTGCCCGAACAAAATTGTATGGAATATTCACCAACATTTGCCCTAAAAATCACCCAGTTTTGTAGGTCAATATACCAGCACCATGGGTTGCATACGGGATAGGCAATTCTATGTTCATCCGACCCGCCAGAGAAGGTGATGGATCACCCAAGAAACAGAAAGGGATGGAAACCAAAAAAACTGAAACCATTATTGTTTGGTTTTAATGGGATTTAATGGGTTTTAATGGGATTTTTATGGGATTTACTCTCTGGTAAAGGTTTTCATTACTGGTTGGTGGTGCAATAACCATCTTGAAAAATATGAAAGTCAATGGGAAAGATTATCCCATATACTATGGAAAAGAAAACTCATGTTTGAAACCACCAACCAGATTATTGGAGCAGTGCTCAAAAACCCCTGTTGATTAATTCATATGAATTCTATGGGGTTATACTGTCGAAGATGAATCGGAGATCTTCACAATCCAACGTATCAAAATCCTACAAGGTGGTGCCCCCCCAGTTATAAGTTGGTTTATAAACCATAGCAACTAGTTCGATATGTCTACCATAAACCATAGTGGGGGAGTTGTGTTCACCAACTTAGCTAATCTCATGAGGTGATAAACCCACCAATCTATATGACGTGTTTCTTGCCTGTAATATTCTATATGATATGATATTATACTATATAATCATATGATATTATAGTATAGTACATTATTATATTATATTATGTTGTTATATTATAGACATTATATATACATTATATTATATATTACTATATTATTATTTCTATCAATGATCACTATTACAATGATGTCATTATTATAACAATGTGTATATATATATCTATTCGTAACACTGCCAGGATCCCCGCGTAAAGCTTCCCTCCCGTAGCCCTAATCAAACCGACCAATGGAAAATTCCCAAGTCATAGTCAGATAAGTTTCCCAGCTAGCAACCTCCATTTGGTTAGGTGATTTTCCAACTAGTCGTTTCAATGACACCGAAGGGTATCCACTATCATCATAGGTGGCTGGACGACCCAAGGTATATCTAGCGTATATCTAATCATCAACTGCTTGGAGAATCATCCCAACAATCGTGTTTGTGATTAATAACCATGTACTCTACATATATTATCATGTATCTATCATCTATATAATTATAATCATTATATATATATATATATATATATATATCCACGTATGGGTACGACAACCATCAACCTACGGATCAACCACTTCGAGGTTCGTGTGCCGTTACGGTCCTGGGGCTGTTGACCTCTCGGGGCTCCTGCGACCGCTGCGACCGGAAGCTGAGAAGTCGTCCAGTTCGGAACTGATCAGGAAAACCCAAGAATCTAAGGGAATATGGGTATGGATCAATACCTATTAATACAATTTTTAGGGGGATGAACATCCATTTACCAGCTATTTTGATGTTCACCAGGGGTACAAGGTTTTGACACACTGCCATATCCCAACATTTTATATGGTCTTATATATGGTACAGTACCTCCATTTTAGGATCCTGAAATTCCCAAATATTGGAAAAGCCAAGGATGTCCTTTTGGTAAAAAATAGTATACCATCTATCAAAGGGACATAAAATTGGGTGTTCCAATATTTGGTATATATTTACCAATCTATAATATTTCCAAATAATGGGTAAACCCAATAACGGGCCGGTTCGGATACTGATGAAACGATCACATTGCTCAGATCCATGGAAGCGTTCGATCTTGCTCGTGCTGCTAGTTCTGCGGTTCGAGTCACCCTTTTGGTACCAGCTGCCTGTCGACAGAAAACAGGTGTGCTCTAGAGTCTGCTGGGTTTCAGGTGTTTGATAGGTAGGAGGACTTCCTGCCAGGCTTCCGCATGGTAGCGGAGCTTGGCAGGCTCTAGGTGCCATGGCAACTTCTTCCGTTGGTGGTGCTGGGAAAGAATCTGAAGGTGTTGATTTCAAATATCCTAGCTGGGATGGAGACTGGGCGAAATGGCAAGACTATCAACTGAGGGTTGAATTGAAAGCTGATGGCATGAAACAGGAGGACTTGCCACTGCTTGGGCCACGCCTTGCATCCAATCTCACTGGACGGGCCTTTGAGGCCATAGTTGAAATCAACAGGACTGAGCTCAAGAAAGAGAATGGTCACAAGTACCTTTTGTCCTTCCTGGAGAAGACACGTGGAAAGGAGAAGATTGACCTTCTCGGTGAAGCTCCGCAGAGACTTTGAGGAGCTTTCGGACTATGAACCTCGCTTCAAGGCCATGATCCGCCGCCTAGACAAGGCGTTGAAGGAGTCAGGTGCTGAAGAAAAGATGCCATCCGAAGTTTATGGATGGTATCTGGTCAACAACTACATGAGGATGGAACCATCGGACGTGGCGAACATCCGTGGAAGATCAGAGAGCTACAAGCACACTGACATCCTTGCTGGTTTGCATCGCATGTGGAGTGGTGGTGGATTGGCGGCCAAAGATAGTGAGACAAATTACTTTACTTCGTGTGATCCCCACCATGACATTTATACATTTTGTTACTGGCAAATCTTCTGGCATTCTATCTGACATATTTTCTGGCATTCGATCTGGCATTCTATCTGGCATATCTTCTGGCATTCTTCCTGGCATATCTTCTGGCAGATGTTCTGGCATATCTTCTGGCAGATGTTCTGGCATATCTTCTGGCATATCTTCTGGCATATGTTCTGGCATATCTTCTGACATTCCATCTGGCATTCTATCTGGCATATCTTCTGGCATATTATCTGGCAAATCTTCTGGCATTCCATCTGGCACTCTATCTAGCATATCTTCTGGCATATTATCTGGCAAATCTGCTGGCATTCTATCTGGCAAACATTCTGGCACTTTATCTGGCATATCTTCTGGCATTCTATCTGGCATATCTTCTCGCAGATGTTCTGGCATATCTTCTGGCAGATGTTCTGGCATATGTTCTGGCATTCCATCTGGCATATCTTCTGGCATATTATCTGGCAAATCTTCTGGCATTCCATCTGGCATTCTATCTAGCATATCTTCTGGCATATTATCTGGCAAATCTGCTGGCATTCTATCTGGCAAACCTTCTGGCACTTTATCTGGCATATCTTCTGGCATTCTATCTGACATTCTATCTGGCATTCTATCTGGCATACCTTCTGGCATTCTATCTGGCATATCTTCTAACATTCTATCTGGCATATCTTCCGGCACTCTATGTGGCATATCTTTTGGCGTGGATACTCGCGGTTGAGGTCCGGCAGGGAACACTGGGCGTGGATGGTCGTGGTTGAGGTCCGGCAGGGAACACTGGGCGGGGATACTCGCGGTTGAGGTCCGGCAGGGAACACTGGGCGTGGATGGTCGTGGTTGAGGTCCGGCAGAGAACACTGGGCGGGGATGGTCGTGGTTGAGGTCCGGCAGGGAACACTGGGCGTGGATGGTCGTGGTTGAGGTCCGACAGGGATCTGGAGCTCGCAGTGGAGGTCCGGCTGTGCCCACTGGGATCTGGACTGCGAGGAGGAGGCGGCGGTTGAGCAGGAGGAGGAGGAGAGGAGGAGAGGAGGAGGAGGAGCAGGCAACTTAGATAAAATCTAACAACCCTCACCTGGCAGGTGGGGAAGAAAAAGAAGAAAGAAAGCAATGGTCATGCCATGGTCGTGGAGGATGAAGACATGGTGGAAGAGGAAGTCTTCCTAGCCAATGAAGACGATGAACGTGCCTTCATAGATGATCCCGAGGTTGATGAGGTCCTTGCAAACTTTCCGGATGCACGACGGGCTTTGGGACAAGCTCGCACATCCCGGGGCTTCTACCCGGTAAAGGACCCGAATCTGAATCGGGGATCGGGCTTTGCAACCTCCAAAGGACGTGGAAAAGGTCGAGGATTCAATCGTGACAATCAGTTTGCTGCGGCTGGCTTCGCGTGGCAGGCGCAGTACAGAGAGCTTCCTGGCTGCCTTTTGCGTGGCTCTTGTTTTTCACTTGGATCCCGCCGCTCCTGCTCCCGCCTCCGCCGCCGTAGACTTATCATCACCACTCATCACAAACCCACTTATCACATCACAACTTCTCATCACAACTCATCACACCTTATCACATACCAAGTCATCACAGCTCCACTTCTCACACCTTACTCATCACAGCTCCACTGCTCATAACAACTCATCACAGCTCCACTTCTGAAAGGTCCACTTCTCATCACAACTTATCACATCCCAACTCATCACAGCTCCACTTCTCACACCCCTTCTCACACCTCACTTATCACATCCGAACTCATCGCAGCTCCACTTCTCACACCTGTCATCACAAGTCCACTTCTCACACCTCAGTTCTCACACCTCCCCGAACTTTACATTAACCTTAGATACATAAAGGCTTGACATGTGGGATTATCCGGTCCTTTTATTTAAATATCCAAAAACCCGTCGATGAATTCCATAGCATCAGCCTATCATTTCCACGACATCTTGTTAAAATATAATTGTTATAATCACCAACCTAAAACTTGCGGCCAGCTATGGGGATGATTCCCCTATACATTCACCATAATTCCAGTGAGGCCACGACGTGAGATCACCTACTAATTTACCCACATATGATCCCATTATAATTACATCCCATTCATTAGATTCCCATTATACTACAATTTATGTTGGTTAAATCATCATTGTTTCCTATGGTTTCCTTATGGTTTCCCATGATAACATCCACGTTTTACCCAGCTGTTTTGCTCGCAGGGCGACACCGCGGCGTTCCGCGGAACCGCGGCGGAAAAAGGGCCTTGTCAAAGAACTGAAGCGCCGACCACCTGCCGCGATCAAAGGATGTCTACTTCCGAAATCGAAAATGGGACTTCCTGCTATAAAGTACCCTCCGGTAAACTAAGATAGCTATTCAAAATGGCCATTTACAGATTTACCTATAAAACATGGTGATTTTCCATAGTTACGTTAGTTTACCAGAGGGTAGATAGAGCATGGGCTGTTCCAAAAAACACATTTTAGTGAGGAGGTATTGACATGTCTACATTCTCTATCTACTCCAGGATGACTATATGTTTATGTAGTAGCAAGTAAGATCTCAACGAAGTGGTGCCATGGTGAATAGCCAAAGAGCCCCAATTAGGGTCTGGTGTATCCATAGAAGTAACTAAGAGAATAGATGAGAATAGGCAAAACCTAATGTTACCGTGTAATAACCTCTGGTCATTTTACCAAAAAATGCAACATAATCATTTTGAAATAGGTAACTCATTTACTGTATATATACATAGTGTTGTTTCTTCCGTAGCTATGTTATGCTATGCTTAATTACTGGTTGGTAGGAAGTTTTAGTAGGAAAAATAATTGAGCGGTTGGCGGCACCCGGGATGATGATCCCATCAAAAAGCGTTGGAAATTTTAGGAGATTTGAAACCATCCACCAGCTGATGGTACCATTTGGATCCAAGGCATCTTCAAATTCTCAAAAAAAACAATCGAGGTGGACTTTTTGGATGTAAAACTGTTGGAGAATTCCACACTAAAATTTTGGATATTCTAATATAACTTTGGGAACGCCCAGCAAACAGCAACTTGGATGTACCACACACTTCACTTCCCCCAAATATGCATTTTTTGGGTTTCTGGTTTTCTGCAGAAGGGTTGCTGACTCCACCCCACCCAAGTGAAAGCAACGTTAGAAGAGGCAATACAGATCTAGATGAAGTAGATTCAATGTATATAAATATGCATATATGTAAATATATATATATATGATATATATATATACACATGATATATATATATATATATATGTAAATAATAATCAACATATTATAGACACATATATAAACATCTTAACATAGATATTTCATATAGATATAACCCATAGATAGATAGATAGATAAATAGATAGATAGATAGATAGATAGATAAATAGATAGATAGATAGATAGATAGACAGATAGATGGATAGATAGATCGATAGATAGATAGATAGATAAATAGATAGATAGATAGATAGATAGAAAGAAAGAAAGATATATATATATAGAAAGATAGATAGATAGATAGAAAGATAGATAGATAGATAGATATAGAAACATATATATATATTATCTACTATATTTCTTTCTACTGTCATGGTCACTCGGACTACCACGAATCACCAAGCCGGAGAGACATAAACGGCGGCAGCGTCTTGTCCAAGTATGACACCAGCCTCGTGGACAAAAAAATGGTCCATGAGGTGATCACGGTCTCAGAAAACGAAGTCATCCCTGAAGAAAAATAGTTTAATAATGATTAATCATGATAATTAATAGTGATTAATAGTGATAATTAATGGTTAATGGTGGTTACTAATGATTAATAATGGTGATTAATGGTCAAGAATGGTTACTAATGGTTAATCATTGTTATTAATGGTTAATAATGGTTAGTAATGGTTAATCATGGTTAATAATGATAATTGACGGTGATTATTAATGGTTGATACTGACAAGTAATGATAGTAAAGCAATGTCATGAACCACCCAGTTTGATGGTTTATACCACCCATCAAAATGGGTCGAAATGGTAACATTGGGGATGGTCTACTATTGCTTTAACATGTTTTAACCCTATGGAATCATGAAGGATCTACAAACTACAAGCACATTTGGGGGTTTCCTATGGGATGCTATATGTTACTTCTTCGTGATACCATGTTGACAGTTTCTTTCATCCGAGAATAGAACAAAAACCATGAGCGAACACCTGGAGCATAGATGGATAGGCGCCCCCACAACTACTTCATGGGAAAAGAATAAAACGCATTTCCCTGCTAATATCATCCCTCTAATATTATATAGATATATACAACCTAAAGTGGACCGAGAATGAACAAATCCCATAACTGTATCAAGGTTTCAAGGGTTGAGAATCAGTTGATCTTCTCAATCTATTCCAACTCATACATATTCGTACAGCAGCTAATAGCAAAACCCTGATAAACTGCTACACTGACACACCAAACAGATTAAAAAAGGCTGGGCAATGCAGGGAACTGTAGGTCACTCGAGGTAAAATGATACAAGGTGGTGCCCAGTCAGCGAAGTTGGTTTACAACTCTAGTTATTCCGCTTCGATTATGGTAGATAATATATATATATTATATTAAACATATAATAATATTATACTGTAATATGTATATATATATATATAAATTCATATATATATATATGTTACGGTAGATATATTTCCTTCTTAGGTTTTCGATTATAATATATGATATCGAACCAACAAACATAACTCGGGGGGCATCATCGATGCCGCCGTGCGCCGTGCTTCCGGGCGGTGCAGCGTCAGGGCACAAGCCTACGGTACCAATGGACCCACGAATCTTGGCTGGTTGGTGGTTTTAACCATCTTGAAAAATATGAAAGTCAATGGGAAGGATTATCCCATATATCATGGACAAATAAAAAATGTTCCAAACCACCAACCAGAAAGTAATTAGCCCGGATTTTATACTGGTTTAAAGCATCATGTTTTCCATTAAACACATCATTTGATGGGTATCCGGTATCACCATTTTCAGGCACATCCAGAAGTCCAACAAGAACCTCTTTAATCCAGGGGCACAGTCAGATATTTTTGGAGGGGTTCCATGCAAGTTTTCAGGTGAATAGATCCTCATTTAGGCCGGTGATATTCACATATTTCGCTGTTGACATATTCCAGCAAAGTGACAAAGTCAATAAATGATGCTTCATGGATATTTTGAGAAATTACATGACAGGATTTCAGGATGTTCAATATGTACCGCAAACCCACCCCAAAAAACTCTGGTTGGTCCAACAAAAATCAAGCACACAGAAAGAAACATTGAGGAGAATGCAGGGAATGATTGGGACAGTGTTGGTTTCCCCGCACAGACCCTGTGGTTTGCCCGGACTGCAACATTGAGGATGCCCTGTTGTCGAACATGATAAGAGAATTTGCAGAAAAGACTGCGTATACTGTATACGTTGTGTTTTCTGGTTTATGATTCAGAGTTTTCAGGGTTTAGGGAGTTTAGGGTTTTACGGAATCGGTTTAGGGGTTTAGGTTTTTAGGGTTCAGGGCCAGTTTAGGGTTCTACGGTTTAGAATGAATCTAGGGTTTAGGATTCGCCGTGTGGGAAATCCCAAACAGTTGGCCCTGCGCAGGTATTTGAGCATGTCGAAGGATAATGTCTGAACACCGTTCTAACCTTCCAGGCAAACCATAGGCTCTGAGAAACCGCGCAAAATAAACCACCAATATTTTCATGGTTGAGAAACTACCCAAATTTACCAACATTGATCAACCCGAACGAATTCACCTGAACGAAATCAAGTCAACTTTAGCGATGTCATAAATCAGCTCCAACAAAAATCCATTAAAAAACAAATCCCCAGTGGTTTCCTTTGGTTAAATCTATATACCCTCCGGTAAACAAGCTGTTCGCTATTGAACATGGCCATTGAGAAATCGTTGATTTACCCAACTAGAAAAAGGGTGGATCTTTCCATAGAGTTTTTTTGTAACCGTTTACCAGAGGGTAGAGGTTTCAGTAATCATCACTACAATCTATAATCACATTGTTAGCTATTCATCACCATTAATCACCATTAATCACCATTAATCACCATTAATTAATCACTAGTAATCCTAGGTTTCCTGAAATGGAGGTACCCCCAGTCATCATCCAACGCGCGGAAGCCCCACCTGGCGGCACGCTGCCCGCCGGCAAAGGCTTGGCTTCAGTGCGTCCCGTGGGCCTCAACGACAGGCTTAGACCCAGGGTCAGGGTGGGAGACCCAGGGAGTTCACCATGGAAACACCATAGGATTCAACATGGATTCGCCATAGCTGATCTGCTCTAATTACATAACCGGAGTAGTTAGGGATAGAAACCATGAAAAAGATGTGAAACCATGGGATACGACATGGTGAAAAACGATAATTTAAGATGGTTTAATGAGAGCTTCATATCCGTTTTATGTGGCTTAATAGTGATCTGAATGGAATGAACATAATGATCATAGGATAATGATGGATAATGATAGATTTCACCAACAAATATGGTGATATCATGGGATATAACGAACATATCATGGGATAATATGATAAACATGGTAGGTTTCCCACCAAATGCTTGATATCCGCAATCAAACATGGCAATGGAACATCACCGAACTAAATTGAGGTTCTAATGGGACAATAATCTACAAAAGGAATATGTCAATGCTATGTTTGATTACCAAACGGTAAACATGGATTCAAAATGCATCACATTCCGATATTTGCTTTGATAAAAACGTCAAGAATTCAAAACAAAACAAAAGCAAGGCCCCTGGGGTTTACGCAGCCAAAATGGTGATATAATCACCAATAATTGTTGAACATGAACATGGATTGTCAACAATGATTGGTAATCAGTTGACAATATATGGAAACATCGCCGAAACATGGCATGGAACATGATTGTCCAATCACTAATTTGTCAGTGTCAACAATTGAGCAGCGTTCAAAAATCAGACATGGCATTCCCGAGTGAGAAACAGTTTAAGCAACCATGTTGATTTCCTGTTCTCCCTTAAGAGCTTGGGTTGGATTCATGTCCAGCTTGCTTGGTGACTGCATCCCGCAGTCACGTAGAAGTCTGAAATCTCAGAGTAATCCACCTGATTCATCCCAAGCCGCGAATCTGAACGCTGGGTCGTATCTGCAAGGGCTCAATATAGTTGGCGAAGTTGGGACACACAGAATTCCAATATGGGTGCATGGTAATTAGATAAATGCGGATGGGTCAAAACCAATAAGCCTTCTGGTGAACATCAAAATATGTGATAAATAGCTGTTCACCCTCACAATTCTGGTTTGGTTTTGAATGGTTTTGACACATCCCCATATCGAAGGGTCAAGGCACATAAACCATACAAGGTGGTTCCCCATAGTTTGCTAAGTTCACTTATAACATTTTGTAACTCCAGTAACTTGGCTCTATCGTATATGATCGAACTAGTTACCGGTGGTTAGTTATTACTTGGTTGTAGTTATTGCTTGGTTGTAGTTATAGTTTAGATAAGCTTGGTTACTTGGTTCTTTCTTGGTTACTAGTTAAATGTGGTTAGTCATTACGTGGTTCTTACTTGGCTGTAGTTACTTGCCTTAGCTATCACTTGGTTAGTCATTACTTGGTTATAGTTAAAGTTATAGTTATGACTTATAACTGAAAACCATTTATAACTGGTATTTCGGGCTTTAAGTGCACTTCATGGTGGCTACAAGGTGGTGCCCCCCCAGTTATAAGTTGGTTTATAAACCCCATTAACTATAGATATAAGTACAATAAACCATAGTTATTGGAGTTATAAACCAGCTAACTATGGGGCACCACCTTGTAGAGATATTTATACTTCATGTTATAAACTTATAAACATAACTGGAGGGGGGCACCACAGATTGTTGGTCCCCTTAACCAAGTCAATAGCTACGTTAAATTACCAGAGGGTATAAACCTTAAGAAACTGACTGGGGACGACTCTCCGACTCTCCGCCGAGCGACGCCGTGTCACTGAAGGGCGGCCGCTGAAAGTTGAAGAGCCACTCGTCGGAGATCGCCTACGTTCAGAACGGCGAACAGGTGAACTCCACGGGGAATCCACGAGGAGTTCACCATTAAAATGGTGGTTGAGCCACCACCTTGAAAAATATGAGTCAGAAAGAGGATCATCATCCCAATATATCCCAACTAATGGGGAAACTAAAACATGTTCCAACCATATGATTTAAATGGTTGTTTCATGATGGATTTTATGATGGATTCTATGATTTAATCTGAGTTAATGATGGATTTATAATGAAGCTTAATGGGTCAATGGACTGGTTGAAGGGAGCATCTACAGTACAGTTGAAACTGGAAGTTTTTTTTTCCATCCATAATACTATGGATGGTATAATAGAAACGGTATAATACCCATAGAAACTGGATGGTATACATACCCCTATCTATAGGGGTTTCCGATAAAATGTTCCTTGGAGCAATCCGATGATTATCAAACGTGGCTGGCTGGGAAATCCCCGAACTCTCGTACCTGAAAATAGGAGATCTAGCATGATCTAGCCCCAATTACTGCAGTGATAATAATTAGTGAGTAACCAATGGATTATGGGTGCAGTTTATCCCATTCTTGAGGATGGGTCTAGCAGAGTCTAGCAGCCTAGCCTCTGAAATCACCCAGCAACCCATGGTCAGGCGCCTGACTTTTTGGGGTTGCATCATTACAATGAAGTCCTCATGGGAACCGGCCAACAAAAAGATATGTCAACAGCATGAAAAAAAATGAAACAACCTCCACCACTTCTTCCCTATATCATAGCCTTCAAGGTGACAAGGGTGATAACACCCAGATATTATCCCATTATATCCCGTGATATTTCCATTATACTACCATGAATGTTGGTTAAATCACCATTTCTCCTATGGTTTCTGATGATGGTGGAAGAAATCCTGCACCATCTTGGATGGTTGAAACCCTAAAAATAATGGGATTTTTACCACCTATCAACTGGTGATTCGAATTCTGCAACCATCCACAGTAGAACCCTGTTGGATTCTGTGCTCTTCCAAACTTGGCTGTGCCTCGTTGGGCAGTGGCCTCGTGTAGTCCGTATCTGCCGTGGCTTTCCACGCGGAAGATTCGACGTAAAGAAAAACTTCAGAATCATTGATAAATAAAAAACTATAATATATATATATATACATATATATATATAATTATATATATACATATATTGATATAAGTAATCTAGTTACTCCCTGTGTTTATTACTAGGATTAGTATTAGGGGAAAGGGATTACTAAAACAAAATGCGCCACGTATGGCATATCATTTACATGCATTTGAAACATGTTTTGGGGGAACAGTTGGGATCTAGTGAATCTAGTTATTCCGTGCATGGGGCATTTGGGATACATGGCTTTCAAATACTGGAGGAACCTGAATTATTTAATCTGGTTGGTGGTTTCAATTCCCTTGAAGAATATTAGTCAGATTGGATTATCATCCCAACTAATGGGGAAAATACAACATGTTTGAAACCACCAACCAGACCCCTTGACTGGAAGAGGTCACCGATTGGAAGCAGAACATCTTCCAATCTCAATGGTTGCGACTTGATGTGGGGAATGCACCCAAGGATTGCAATTTAAAAACCAAGTGTCAAACGCCGGTTACCCTCTGGCAAACGTTTACATAAACAATGCGAAGATCCACCATGTTTAATGGGTAAATCAACTATTTCTATGGGAATTTTCAATAGCTATGTTAGTCATTACCAGAGGATATATCATACTTGGATGTGCCTCCGAGTTCACACGTGGTACCCCCCAGGTGCAAGTGGAAAACATAAACCTGGGGCACATAACATCATTGGTTTTTAACCACTTGCGATCCCCAAAGTTAACATGCGGAACTCCAAAAATTGGGGTTGGACGAGGATTTTCCTATTGAAAAAGACATGCCGGACAGCATAGGATGGTTTCGATCCTAAAATCAAAGTGACAATCGTAGCTGCATTTCCTGTCCAAAAAATGACCCAACAACCCACGTGTATCCTGGATTTCTCGCCCACCCCAACCTTCAAGGCCTTGAAAATAAATCTTTACGAATCTCATGAGGTCGCTACATCTACAAACCAAGCGATCAATTACCGGGCAAGGGTTAGTTGCAACTGAGATGAATGGAAGCGAATAGAGCCGAGTTGCAACGCATTTTTGGTTGATAGCATCCCCCTGTTTAGCAATGTTTTAGCCACCCATTATCCAAAGGTCTTGCAAAAATGGCTCAAAGGTTTCATGAACACACAGTTATAGTACCTATCATTCATTTACGATCTATTATCTATGACTAAGATTCACTAAGCATCTTCGAACATTGTATAATAACCATTCTGAACGTGGTACCCCACAGGCAAGTTTGATACATAAACCCAACAGACTGTGGCACCACTTTGAACCATGTCCACCAATCATTGGTGAAATCCCTACTTTCATGGATAAATCCCAACTAATTCCCCATGAACTTATCATTTACCCAATAAATGTCATGAAATCCTGCTACCCTCTGGTAAACTAACATAACTATGGAAAATCACCATTTTTCATGGGAAAACTCACTATTTCTATGGCCATTTTCAATAGCTATGTTAGTTTACCAGAGGGTAACTCCCATTGAAATAACCTTGTTCCCACCATTTGCCCAGCATTTCCCACCGCACCGTCGGGGGGTGGGCGCCGCCGTTCGGCGCGGCGGTGGAAGAATGCACAGAGGCGGTCGCGGGGACACGCCTCACGCGACTCACGTGAGCTGTTGAAAGATTTGGGGGTCATTTACTCTGGTTGTGTATATATGCATATATAATAATATGTATATATATATAGAGAGAGTATATATATATATATCATATATATATACATATTATATATATATATATATCATTATGTATAACGGATAGATGATAGAGGGGTGATATAACCTTAGCTAGATGTGTCTATATATATAAGGGTTAGATGGGTTATACAACCTTAATATGAAATATGGTTATAAAAAAATATATCATTCATAATAACTTAATAACTGGGAAATGTAGTTTTAATAACTATAATAAAACCATAATGACACAATAATAACCAGTTTCCATATTAGGGTTACATAACCCATCTAACTTTTTTTATGTACTGGTGAATCTTAGATACCTGTCAAACAATCTCATGTTTAGCTGGTGAACGTACATTCTACCAATGATAGCAAAACAAGTACTAACGTATCTAACCAAGGTTGAACCAGTATGTGTATTTATATGTATATATATATATACACACGTTAGATGATATATATATATATATATGACCTTGATATGGAATATGATCAGTATGGTTACTATGGTTCTTGTGGTTATTACAGTCATATTTCCCAGTTGATATGGTTATTATGCCTGATACATTCCTTTATAACCCTGTGTAAGTGTAGTTATAGTATGTTATAGTTAATGTATGTTAATATATTCTCATTATACTCCACTGACCACCATTTTCCCAAACTAATCTTGTGTTCCTACATCGCTATGGAAATATCATTATGTTTAAGAGGAAATGATCAAACTCAATTGGCCATGGTTTTCAGTTTGCAAACAAAAAATCACCAGAGAGTATCACTTGGAGTCTCCCAGTTCTGGTTGCTTGGTTTATGGTTGCCCAACGAATAGTTACTGGTTGGTGGTTTCAACCTATCCCTCTGAAAAAATCATGGAGTTCGTCAGATTGGGATGATGACATTCCCAATATATGGAAAAAATAGTCATAAAATTTATGTTCCAAACCACCAACCAGATAAATAATCTCCAAATTCTGGGATTCTCCAAGTATATCATGGAACATCTCCAGGTTATAAAACATGTTATACACCCTAAAACCCCCAACGATGTCAAGCCAGTTGAGCTGCTTCAGAACGGATTTCCCATGTATTCATCAACCACGGGCTTTTGAAAACAACTTTCATCCGGGTGTTCATTGAAAATCCCCAGTTGAATAAAATTAATCCGTATGAATATGATCAATATGATCATATTATCCAGGTTATTATCAGTATAACCCATTGAATATTAATCAGTATTATAGTTCAAACAGTATAACCCATTGGATATGATTAACTATCAGCATTATAGTCAGTTATGATCAGTATGGTTACTATGATTGAAATAATGGGTCATCAATTATGGTGTCCAGAAGTTTCCAGTTAGCCCCGCCGACCCCAGCCAAGAAAAGTGTCTTCAAGACAGACTGTCTTTCATGGTCAAAGCATTTTTTTTCAGATATGGTCATTAAAAAAAACATATACCCTCTGGTAAACTACCATAGCTATTGAAAATCACCATTTTTAATGGGAAAACCGGGAAAATCCACTATAAATTGCCATTTTCAATAGCTATGTTAGTTTACCAGAGGGTATAAATTCTGTGAAGCAGAATATTTCGCAAATTCTGACCATATCTGGCCAATGTCTTGGCCCCCCAACTTGACCGTAACAACACGCCCCAACTTGACCAACACGCCCATCTGCTTGGTGTTTTTTTTTGCGTTTTTCAGATATGGCAGTCTCAAATCATTCCGTTTAATTACTGGGTAGAATAAACAACTGAATGGCTTGCTACTGGAAATTATTGCAATAATCTCACCAGGTTTGGTAAGTTCTGACCTAGAAAATCCAAAAGCTATGTTAACGCTACTACAACTATAGCAAATTACTACTGTACCAATATCATTAAACATCCCGATAAACATAACCAACATGACCAACAGTCGAACATTCAAACTGCCATGGTCTGCCTGAAAATGGGGAAGGACCTCAAAATGGCCACTGACGAATGGGGGAAATGAGGTTCATTTGCGGCATTGGAGGTACCTTATCTTCAAACAAACCCACATGAGCCCTTAAAAACCCCCCCTACCCCATCTGACTATACTAGTTGGTTGATAGGTTTCTCTACTATGGGTTATAAATAATTTCCAAATAGCCTAGGTAATTACCCTCTGGTAATTTAACATAGCTATTGAAAATGGCCATTTATAGTGGATTTACCCATTGAAAATGGTGATTTTCAATAGCTATGTTAAATTACCAGAGGGTAGTATAACTCCCAACAAATCAACCAACCAGTGTATTTTTAATGGCCCAAATAAACCTTCAATTCCCTATCGCATCTCAAAATGATCTACCTCCGCGAGCCGCGACGCGGCTCGCCCCCCGCCTTTGACCGCAAGTCCCGACAGACCACAGTCCTGATGGGAGAGGTAACCACCAAAAAAAAAAACTTACAGTTGGAACAGGAAATTTAGATGAACAAATTGGCATTTAACCATGAAAAATGGCGCTAGAATGATGTAGAATGGGATATTTTTTCCAGGAGATCAAGGAATATGATGGAACAAACATGGTTAAAATAATGGGTTAACCAACAAGAATATGCATTATCATACGGTATCATTGGGATAATGGTTGAGATACGTTGGGATAATCATCGGATTGTAAGTTGTAAAGGGAATGTTAATTTATGGAAATAAGTGGAACAGGATCGCGGTTCACCAATTTGGTGGGAAATAGTTGGATAATTGCAATATAATTCGGAAGATAATCCTCAAAGACGGATTGCAGGAAAATCTCACAGAAATAGATTCATGATTTTCACCCCTTTCCAGCCATGCTTGATGACACCAACTGGTGCATGAATTAGTTACCAACTGGTGCAGGATTTCTTCCATCCACAGCATGGAATTACCATTATATAAACAATATGAGAATCCCATAGAAATTTCTCTGAAACTACCCATTTTTTACCTATCAAATTCCATGAAATGCTAGTTGGTGGTTTCAACCTCTCGGAAAAATATTATATAGTCAGTTGGGGTTACTATTCACAATATATGGAAAAAAACATGAAAAAACAAAATGTTCCAAACCACCAACCAGTTATGAAACTACACTGTTTACCTATCAAACTCTATGAACATTCTCCACTGCCACCTCTGTTGGCACCTATGAGATTTGCCATCTCTGCCAGGTTGTCTCAAGAGACCACAGGACTCTGAGTGGAATGGAGATGTTCGTCACAGCATTGGGGACATTGCTACAGTTTGTTAATTTATATACTCATATATATATATATTATATATTATATATATTATATATATTATATATATTATATATTATATATATATATGAGTATACAGTAATATATAGAATACTGTGTATATATATATGTATATATACACATCAACAAAACTATACATGTTTTTTCATATATCATCACTACAATCAATGGATACCAGTAGGTCACTAGATAACCCAATAAAGAACAGTGATTTCTTCGCCAAACATGACCACCTCAGGCACTCCACATGGCTTTCTCCGAAAATGGATGGGAAAAAGCCTCATTTAATGCACTGGTGAATCAGAATGTGGGGGATAACATTGATAACATCCCCCATTTTCAGACCCAAGTTATATCCCAAGTTATCATGTCGTGTTGATATATATGTTACCTATCATTGTAGTTTATCTATATTTATCAATAATACCAATATTATCATTATTACTATCATTATCTATCATTATCTACGTTGATCGGCTTTATATCCCGTTTGTCTATATTATTATATATGTACATATGTATATATATATATACCCTCTGGTAAACAAACAGTTCGCTATTGAACATGGCCATAGAAATAGTGGATTTTCCCATTAACCATCCATAGTTATGTGAACGTTTACCAGAGGGTACATGTTTAACATCCATTAATTATCCATTAACAAGCTATAGGAATAAACATCCATTAACCATCCATGAACCATGTGCCTATTATTATACATTTATTATACATTTATCTCCCATTGCGACCCATGGAAATCCCACGGATAAATCCCCAGTGACTAAAGTCGCATTGACCATCCAACTCAGCCATGAAAAAGAGCCAGAGCCGAGCCATTCGAAAGCCAGCCATTTGATCTATGGATAATAGTCTTTGGATAATAGTCTATTTATGGATAGCAATAATAATCCAACAATAATCTATCCCATATGCAACCCATGGTGCTGGAATATGCAACCCATGGTGCTGGAATATGCACACCAACATTTTGCCCTTGTCCAAAATCAGCCAGTTTTGAGGGTAAATATACCAGCACCATGGAGCATATGGGTATGGATGATCAGAATCCCCAACCGTTGGCTACTTTTCATGGCTCATTTACCCTCTGGTAATGACTAACAGCTCGCTATTGAACATGGCCATCTATAGTTGATTTATCCATTAAACATGGTGATTTTCCATAGTTTATGTAAACGTTTACCAGAGGCTACCATCATTACCATCCAGTTGCTTCGACTCAAAAATTCACCACTGCCCCGCGCTGCCCCGCGCTGCCCACCTGAAATACCTGGGGTGGTACAACTGCTCTTTCGCGCCATGCGCGTAGGGGCACCAAAAGCCCTGCCCACATGTCCCCGGACAACGTCCGCCCGGAGGAACTGAGGATTAGTTCACGTTAGAATGGCTGAATTTCATGGTGACATCCACTGGTAAAATAGAACTATTTAGTAGAACACGTTGTATAAATCTAAATAAAATATGGATAGATATGGGGATATTATATACTCTGAAGTAACTGAGTGAAACACGGCTTTTACAATGGAGAATCGATGAAGGTTCAGACCCAATACCACCACCGGAGTGACCACCAAATGTTGCTCACTACATATCCTTTGTGCATTAAAAAACAATGATTGTTTCACAGTGTTTGGCACCTACAGTATCTGGGCAAATTAAATACTTCAGAAACCTGACAGAACCGCTATTTTTGGGATAGTTACCCCGAATGCTAACCATACGACGTTGCAGGGAGGTCGTTGTTGGGTACATGGCTACTGTAGTTCCTCATAGAGTTTGGCACCCAGCAACGGAGGCACAAAATTGATCAAGTTCACTACTCAAGCAGTGAATTCCTGGGGTCAGTGATTTTTTTGAGCGATATTCATATAAACTGGTTGGTGGTGCAATAACCATCTTGAAAAATATGAGTTCGTCGATGGGAAGGATGACATCCCAGATATGAAATGGAACATAAAATTCATGTTTGAAACCATTCATCTAATTGGTGGTTGAGCCACCCTCTGAAAAATATGAGTTCGTCAGATTGGATCATCATCCCAACTATTGGGGAACATAAAGTTCCATGGTTCCAAACCACCAACCAGGTAGATATATCTACCATAAACCATAGATATTGGACTTATGTTCACCAACTTAGCTATCTCGGGGGCCCGACCCTTTAAGTTCCCAACAATGGAGACTGAACGATCCAGGCCATGATTCCGGACACGGCATCACAGGCTTTGTCAAGGAGGCTCTACCGGAGTCCCCATTAAAATCGAATGGTAAATCACTAACATAACTATGGAAAATCACCGTTTTTAATAGGTACCCTCCAGTAAATTAACATAGACCCTGGGCAGATAGGGGTTGGAAAACTAGTTTCCATTAAAAATTGGTGATTTTCAGGGTCTATGTTAATTTACTAGAGGGTAAATCAGAGGGTATATAAAAGCTGACTATCACAACTGGTTGGTGGTTGCTCCTAACCCCTCTGAAAAATGATGGACTTCGTCAGTTTGGGATGATTATTATTCCCAATACGATGGGAAAAATAACAAACATGTTCCAAACCAACAACCAGCAATATATGAAACAATAAAACATGTTCCAAACCACCGACCAGACAATGTAAGGTATACTCCCTGAGTGGCAATTCATCTCTGAAATGTGAGCTTCCTGGATATGGACAATTTTTTCTAGATCAGGAATGGAAGATACAAGAGCCTGTGGACAACGCTGCTCGTAATCCAAACTTGGGTCCTGCAGCGGTTTTTGGGGCGAAGCAAGGAGTGTCTGGAAGCATCACCAAACTTATGAAAGCTCAACATCATGGGGATAGTCACTACGGATAGTCTTGCTTTTTAAAGAAAAACTTTGCGTTTTACATCGCAGGTATTTCATGGTGTCATGTATAGTTCCAAACGCCTTATATTAAACGCCCCCAAAAACTCTGGTTTGGTAGGGGCTGAAATCACATCTTTCAGACCATCGAATGGTCATAGCTTTAGTTCATAGATTTCATAGCTTCAAGGGGTCTCGAAGTCTTCAAGTCCACCTCTAAACATGGTCAACCTTTGGTAGTCCACCCAAAAATATATATATATACTGGTTGGTGGTTTTAACCATACCATCTTGAAAAATATTAGGAAGGATTATCCCATAGATTATGGAAAAAATGTGTGAAACCACCAACCGGTATATGTTGCGTTTTTTTTGCAAGTTAGCCATTTACAGCAAGAAAACTCATCCGGATGAGTTTCTACCACAAACTATCCAGTCGGGGATGTGTTTTGCCTACAATGCTCTCTACCTGGAGCCCCATTTTCTGGGCGTTTTGTATGATATTTATCGCTGTCTAAATATATCATTTATAATATGAGATACCCTCTGGTAAACTAAAATCACTATGGAAAATCACCACTTTGAATAGGTAAATCAGAGGGTATATAAAAGATGATTATATACTGGTTGCTGGTTGACCTACCCCTCTGAAAAATATGATTTCGTCAGTTGGGATGATGACATTCACAATATGATGAGAAAAAGAATAAATGTTCCAAACCACCAACAAAATATTGTAGTTATACATTGATTGCTATTGATTGCTATCTATTAAAGCATTTTCTATATTTCGTTTTGATTACTTGCTATATATTCATATCTCATGTATTATCATTTGAGTTCCTCAGCTACATCCTCATACAGTAGGTCCCAAATTAAATGTCTCAACATGCTGTTGTCAGTGAAATCTAGCCATCAATTGGGTGACCCCTTTTTTAGCGTCACCCCGAAAAGAAACTGCCTCGCCGAACTGGAGTAGTTATCCCATTCACAAGTGGATTATATATATTATATATTATATTATATATATATATGATATGTATGTATATATATATAGAGAGAGAGCTGTATTGACTAATCATTTACCATCTGTGGCGTGCATCCTTCAACTAGATGGTGCCCTGTGTTTTTCTAAGTTGGTTTATAACCCCCATTAACTAGTTCGATGTATCTACCATAAACCCAAGAGCTGTTGGAGTTATGTAAAAACCAACTTAGCGTGAACCCAAAATGGGAACTTTGCAACATGTCCCCCATCATTGAGTTGAATCCCTATTTATCATGGTTAAATCCCAACTCATTATTCCCTTAAAAAAAGTATCATTTACCCGTTACCCATTAAATCCCAGTCAATCCTTTTAAATCCCCTGAAATATCATAAATGATCATAAATGTCATTAAATCATTTTACAAAAAATCCAACGAAAAAAAAAAAAAAAAAACAAGTTTGACCCTTCGAATCAGGGCAGCCATAGCAGCACCCGGCAGCTGGCTGGGCTCCTTCTTGGCCCAGTGAGGGCAGGGCTGCGGGCCGTAGCCAATGGAAAGCTTCCGACGAGCGTCCTGGCCGTGGGAAGCCGTGGGCCATGGGGGGGAAGGGGTCCCAGGGGCCCCAGAGGCCCCAGGTTTGGGTCATCTTCAAATGGTGAGTTCCATATCTATCATTATCTTTATATTATATATATATATATATATTATATTTATATTATATATATATGTTTATATTATATATATATATATATATATATTATAATATATATATATATTATATAAGAAATGGTGAGTTGGCTGAAGGTACATGACCTTGTGTTTGTTCCCTTCAGAGCGAGTGATCATGACTTGATGATACTTTATGTGTGTGTGAATGCATCCTCAAGCCATTTCCGAACCATAACCGATGTCCGGAAAGCAATACCCTCTGGTAATGACTAACATAGCTATTGAAAATGGCCATTTATAGTGAGTTTTCCCATTAAACATGGTGATTGTCCATAGTTTTTTGTATGTTTACCGGAGGGTACGTTCATGGATATTTGTGATTTTTGTGCATGCATCCTTGTTGCAGGATTTGAAAGCATATTGGGGATCCCAGAACCGGTTTGTTGTGGGTAACAGCTATGAAGCTTTTGGCAGCTTAGTGACTTAGTGGAAAACATCTTGGACAAGAAATAGTAAATCATCTCCAAATTTACCAGAAACGGATGATATAAACCATCAAAAATAGGGGTTTATGGTTGCTTTAATTACTAACATTATACCGAGATATGCTGAACTTATTCAGCTGGCTTATTCACCACTTATCCACGCATGATAGTCAAATGATTTGGCTTCAGAAACGACATGGACAAGACCGTCCATCTTATAATCGTCCGCAGCGCCGCGCCTGGTAGTTGTGGGCATAGACGCAATTCTGCCAGTCGTGCTGAACGCCAATGGGACACCAGAGTGTCTTGTATTGGTACCTGGTGGAAAACACACAGCACGAAACCACACAGTTTGGATGTGCAATTCAAGACTTCAAACACATCGATAATTTTAATCATTCTAGATGAACCAAACTGTCATGTGTGATCCTCCTTCAAAACTGTTTCAGCCATGCCCCTGTCTCCATTTCATGGTGTGAATGCAGTGAAATCTTCCAAACTCAAAAGGCTGAACAGTTAATAACTCCACAATACCTACTTACAGTGGTCCACATATGTATAATATATATATATACGTATAGTAAATAGGCATGGATGTTTCTTCTATATTTTCATCATGTATCCATGTCCCTCTATTTGGGTATTGTCCGCTACAACTAGAAGTCATGTTAGCCACATGTTTTTGCCCCGTTATGTTTATTGGTTTATGTTACCCAAATAAAAACTAGTTCGATATATCTACCAAAAAGCCGACAGTGATTAGGCTGATCAAAACCAACTTAGACAAAACTTACCAACTGGTTATTTAACATAGCCATGGAAAATGGCCCATTTATATATGGTTTACCTATTAAAAATGGTGATTTTCCATGGCTATGTTAAATAACCAGAGGGTAAATCAACTATCAATCCCATTTCCAAATGGTAAAATTTCTAAAATCATGGCGATCCTCGTGGGGCACGACCTTGTTGTGGTCAATGTTGGGTCAAATTTGTCAATCAATTATTTTACAAACACACACCATTTATTGACACTTATTTAGCTGATAATGTTGCTCAGTAAATGTGCTTTTGGGTCAAGTTACCAAACACTTCTTACTTGTTGTCAATCAAACCTAGAATTGGCGTGAGTTGGGGTGCTGGTTGGTGGTTTCAACCCCTGAAAAATATTAGTCAGATTGGATCATCATCCCAACTATTGGGTAAAAATAACAAATGTTCCAAACCACCAACCAGGGTGATGTTGATATGTACCGTGTTGAAAACAAAACAGCACCGTTCACAGCACCGTTCACGACTCGTGCGCCCCAGGGCACATGAAGAAGTCTTCTGTGAGCACCTCGGGCACCTCTCGTCACGAGAATTGGCTGCTCCAGCGGCTAACAAACAAAAATGGCTGTTCAGTGCATTGGTTGAAGGGAAAATCACTTAAGATGACTTATGGATCATGATGATGGGATATAAACACACATAAACTAACATAACTATAGAGAGATCCACCGTTTTTGATGGGTAAATAATGGTAAATCCACTATTTCATACTATTTCTATGGCCAGTTTCAATAGCAAACTGTTTGTTTACCAGAGGGTAAACATACATAAACTACATCAGACTACTGTGCATTGGTTGAAGTGAACATCGTAAGCGGAAACTGCGGATCTTTTGCTCTCGAAAAAATGAGGTGTTCCGGCGTCGATTTTGCCGACAAAAAAACAATTCTGGGAGCTGTGATTTAAACATGTGTCTAAATTAAACATGTGGCACGCTTCTGTTGACATTGCAATAGATTTTTGGATGTTCCCTAAATTTTTTCAAATATGGTGTTCAATAGGCTTTGACCCGTCCCAAAACCCCAATAGAAACAATTCTTAAAACTCTGGACAACTGTGTATATAGAGTTATAGTACTTTGGGAAATATGTTGGATTTCAATATAACATGTTTTTGTTGAGCCCTTTTTCGGCAATTGTCTGGAAACAAAGATAGTTCGACAACGGATGTTTTTTTCGTTTCCGAAGTTGGCCCATCTTGGGCCATCTGCGGCGAAACGCCTGACCAACTTTGAACGGAAAAAAGCTGGTGCTACCCTCTGGTAAACTAACATAACTAAGGAAAATCACCATTTCTGATGGGAAAATCAATTATAAATGGTCATTTTCAATAGCAAACTGTTAGTTTACCAGAGAGTATTCCAGTTTTCTCAGATTGCTTCATGGATCTTCATGGTGTTGTTGTTCATGATTCAATCATGGTGAAATTGTGTTATAATTCGAGATCTACACATGGTATCGTATAATATACCCTCTGCTAAATTAACATAGACCCTGAAAATCACAATTTTTTAGTGGTTTTACTCATCTTCCCTCGAAAAATGCCAGGGTCGATTTTTTTTTTCAGACCCTCACGGCGATTGCAAACAGGAGCAGCGCACCTGTTGTTCTTGCGCCTCTGACAGTAGCTCAGTTTGCGCTTCCTGACCAGGCATGGGGAAGATGGCTGGAATGGCTACTGGGGGAGACCAAATGGCATCCCATTCTAAGTGGCTATATTTCAGATCAATCCACCTGCTCAAAACAATAAACTCAAATGGCATATGTATATATAATCATATGTCTGCATATCGTGGCCTCTGGCCATGGTTGACGGTCTCAATTAAACCTAACTTAAACACCAATCTGGCCACTCATGCTTTCCATGTTTACCTACTGTGGGTGAAGATTAGGGTAAATCATTGTCAGATTCAAAGCCCTACAAATCTAAACGATGCTATTAAGATACCTGTACCGATCCTTTACCCATATCATGGAGTATCCAAATTCTGTTTACAAACGTCCCAGATTGATGGACCTCATAATAAACCAAGGCTCTGATCTCCGGTTGACATTGTCCTATTTGTTGCTTGGGAAAACAAGCCAGCCTTCCAGTAAATTGACACAATATTAGGGAAACCCAAGGTTTTTTTTTTCAGGAAATGATAGGGAAAAAAAGCCAAGATGTTTTTCAGGAAATTAATAGACATGATTCTGACATGATCCATTAGCTGTGGATTTTCATGCGTCCATATCTCAGCTGATTCGCACCTCTCGCGAGTGGGCGAACTCACAGCTAGCCCCACGGCGGCACTGACAGCGAAGCTGGGGAAGTTTGCATTCAATTCAGATGGGTTTCCCCGTTCTTATTGGGAATTTCATGGCTACACTAAGGTAAACCAACATAGACTTAGATGTGGAAAACACCCTAGAAAAAAAATATCTACACATGGCAGGTTTTCCACATCAATGCTAGTTTGCCCTAGGGTAACAAGTTGGGAATTTCCAAAAATCATTGGGTTTGGTCTAAGGGATTTTGTTTGCAGGAAACTTGCTGGTGCATACCACCAATAAAATCGAAATATATGTGTTTGTTTCTTCAGATTGTCCCTTCAATAGGGTAAAACTTGTGTCATGATGTGTCATGGTTCCCCCTTTGTTAAAATTTCCCAGGTATCCAACTGTTCTATTTATTCTCGGGGGTTGCTGTACAACTTGGACTGGGTCCAAGCCAACAAATTTGGAGTTTCTGGGATATTATGGGATATGAACCAGCATGATCATCACTAAGCAACACAAATTGGAATATGATCAGCACATTCTGGGGCAAAACCACCATGATTCCACCAACAAAAACAATATGTTTACCAACGGGGATTTCAGCCAGCAATATCGCGGAGATGTTTATCAGCAACAAAAGGGTATGCCAAGCCCGAGAAGTGGACGATGTTTGATGCTTAGTTTTGGCCCAGTCCTCATTTAGCCCCTGAAAAAACAGCCCATGGATCCATGGCCTATTGTCCCAACGATATGTGAATCCCCTGTGAATATGGTGGGTGGGTGGTGTTTAATCATGTTTAATATGAGGGGGATAGTATTGCTAAGAACAGCCAGCATCCATAGGTCCAAAAAGGTCTTGAATCTTGACTTTGACCCATCCCTATGTGCAAATGCGAGTTGTTTCTGAGAAAGGTTCTCTTCCAATGCCTGAATCATGACGAGTCAAACCTCACAAAACAACAGTTTCATCATGTTTCATCTTCAAAGTCTTGGCGGATTCGACCTTTCAGTGTCCAAAGGGCCCTTGGATCCCTTAGCCTATGGTTTTACCTTTGTTCGACCTGCAGTTTCCATCAGTTTCCCTTAACAAAACCCCGGACATCGCCGGATCTCCAGGACTCGCACCTGGCCCACGTTTGGAAAAGAAGCACAGAAGCGCACTTTGCGTCGAAGCGTCCTGACCGTAGCGTCGAAGCCGTGACCCTTCGCCAAAGTCATTGAAGGATCGTCCCAAAACTTTGGCGACACGGAAAACCCGATGACTCGATGACACCTAAGAGTTGAATCAAAGAAAACACGAACTGCGACCACTGCGACCATGAAATCAAGGAATTTCTGTTCCTGTCACCAGATAAATCCATGGATGAAATGGTGCCCTTTTATTGCCCGCACTCGTCCTCTGGGGATCCTCGACCTGTTCCGTTCGGACAAAAATGAACTAACTCCGACAAAAACAAACAACACGCAGAAAACATATATATATATATAATATATGCATATATATATATATATATGTATATGTATGTATATATGTATATATACAGTATTGTTATAACATATATATATATAGTACTGTTCTATTAAAGAACATATGATAATATAATATATATATATATATGTAACATAATTTTAGTACTATTGAACATATGATAAATTATTATAGTACAATTAGAATCATACAGAATCATATGGGCATATATATATATATATGTATATATAGACATGTATATATATATAGTATAATGGAAGCGTTTGTCATCACAATATATCAATACTATGATTGACACTTTAAGGATAACAATGGTATATTTATGGAAAATAACGAATTGTTGACGGTACCATAGGATATGATTGGGATATCAATGGGATACTAATGATGTTGTTTCTACCTAGGAAAATCAAATAAATAAACCAAAATTATCATGACTGTCATGATTATATGTATGATTATAACATATTATAACAGTCCCAATGATGTCTCTACCTGTGAAAACGGTTATATAATGACCATAGGTGAGTTCATCATTTATAGGGTTAACCTTGAATCCAGGACTTTTTTTTTCACCCCAGGGTTATTACCCTCTGGCCAAAACATGGCAAAGGACAATCCAACATACGTAGATTATGTTTCCATTAAGACCGTCACTTAGAAGGGATTTCCACTTGCAACGTTTGATTGCCAAAGGGTATGTGTGTGGATTTGTTCCCAAAGGGAAATCCACTACTTTGGGAATCTATGGGCAGTATGTTGTTTTTGGTTCCTGAAGCAAATCCAAGATATACTACCATCTGGTTATTTAACATAGCCATGGAAAATCCCAACCATAAATGGAGGTTTCTAGCTGGGAAAATATTTTATTTCTATGGGCCATTTTCCACGGCTATGTTAGTCATAACCAGAGGGTAATGATTCTCTTAAGCGGTTCGGGGCTGGGAGTATTGTATCCATATTCTCAATAGAACATGGGCAGCCAAGGACCCTAAGGAGCTACTGAGAAGATATATCATTTGTAGAAACCCAGATATATTGATCTACTATAATATGGTATATCATAAGTTCAGTTGATAACTTAAACACGTAACTAAACAGTAATCATTGATATCCCATAAATATTCCATTCATATCCTATGGTTCAATCATGTGTTATTTCCCATACATATCCCATGGTTCTCATGGTTCTCATTTCTAATAGTCCCATCTCATAGTATCCCATTAGTCTCTCATTAACGGTATCATTAGTAATAATGTCTTAGGGACTTGAACCGTTAATTCCCATCAATATTCCCATCTCATAGTTATGGTCCCATCTCATTTATATGGGAACCATCTATATATTAGAAATTGAGATCCATATATGGTCCCATAAATATGAGATGGTTTCTCATTTCTAATAGTCCCATCTCATAGTATCCCATTAGTCTCCCATTAATATCCCATAAATTAAACGGTGAATCATGTCTTATCTTTGAGATTTCCAGGCTCCGGGTATCTAAAAATCCAACCGAAACGCCTCGCCAGCACCTCAGGCGTTTCGCGATGTTTGCTGCCAATCGTCCAGCCGGACGAAACGTTACTTGGTGGAAAACCATCGAAACTCTACTTGGTGGATCATCCCACTTGGTAAGTGGGTTATAACCCCAGTTATAAATGGGATAAGTAGGGTTAATACACTTATAACTGGGGTTATAATCCACTTACTAAGTGGGATGAGCCACCAAGTAGGGAATCATGGGGATTTAAACCGAATCATGGATATATTGAGTTGAATGGAGCTGAATGGATCAGAATGGATCAATGGATTGGTTTAAGGGAAAATCGACCGGAAATCACGGCTTTTGCTAGTTTTCTTGAAGGCTTTCCGGCTTCATTATTCCTGTCATCAAACTCTGTGAGCGCAGCAATCTTCAACCAATGGTACACTAGTGGCTTCGGATGGCGGTTTGTAATCCCAAAAACAACTGGTAGAATATATACTAACTGTGACATTAAAGTCAGAACGACCCCCAAAAAATGTCTTGGACCAATTACACTCAGATCATCCCAGGCAGGGCTAAGAAACTGATGAGCAATTTCTGGACCACAAAGGGCCACTTTGCATGACAGAAATGGTTCCGCCCCAGCATGTCGTCTTCCCTGGCTTTGGAGGCTTGAAAGAGATCCCTGACCCCAACCAATCTGAGAAAACTTTAGAAAACTCTCATGAAGATGGGATCTAAATCGGGTACCAGGCAGGAAAATTGAATGGGCCCTGGCTGCATCTGAAAACAGGGTGTATCCCTAATATATCACACCGATTTCTGGGGATAGTTTTTTTCCATTTCAACACCATTTCTCCCATGGAAAATCCTCCATTTATGATCCCCCCAACAAGAAAACCTCCATTAAAAATGCCCGTTTTTTTCCAATACAAAAGTTACCTCCGACCTGGGTGGATTGTCTAACCAGCTAAGGTCAGGACCTCTGTAAACCAGTAGCCAATAGGAATAAGTTTCAGGGGCCCAGCTTCGCAGCTCTTCCTGTCACCGCGCCGGTTTGCGGGGGCGGAAACGACCTTTCTTTGCGGAAGTTTGAGGTTGAGTGGTGCAAAACATGAGAAAAACATAGGAAGAACATGGCAGAATGATAATGTTTGGTGATTATAGCATATAAAAACCATACAACATCGTACAACATGATGAACATGGGGATTTGACATGATTTAAGCAAGAACAACATGGATTGATTAATGAGATATCGATGGGATACCCCTTGCTCATGTTCAGTATTCGCCAAAGATAGGCAATTTCCCAAAACTCAATGGCCATTCCAGGAACCCAAAATTGGAGGTACCTACCAGATATATAAGGCCTATGTAAGGGCTATGTAAGGGGATATACCCCAAAATTATAGCCTTATATGGTATATACCTCCAATTTAGGATCCTGGAATTCCCATTGACAAACAGGGATTCAGATTGATCCAGGTATTCCACTTGTTTCCTGTCTGGGACGCTTCCATCCGTTTCACCCGTCCTCCTCATGAGCGAAGCAACAAATTTCCTGCGAGGATCTCTGAAATCAGCGATGTTGAGAAGCTCAAGTACATGTTTCAAGTCGAAACAGTCAGTGTTTGCAAGTTGCGAGCTGTAGTTTCGAGCTATACCTAACATATCAGTCAGATCATCAGCCCATTTGAAGGGATGGACAAAAACAACACGAAACCATCAGATGGACATCATTGAGCCCAGTTGGGACACATGCAATCTGCACTTCATCCTGCACATTCATGGGGTATACCGTACGGTATACCTTGAAATTGAGGCCTCCATTGTCTACTCAGTACCTGATAAGGCAATGATAAGTCGTTCGGCTGATGAAATAAATCAAGACATTTGATGGTAAAATCACCATTTGGCTGTGTTAACTCTCAGTTGTTGCTGGTGAAATCTGCATTCTTTATCTAAAATCCCAGTGTTTATTGGTTGATTCATGCATGTTGACTCCCAGTTGTTGCTGCTTAACTCATGTGAAATCGTCATTTTTCTCGGAAGAATCATCATCATTTCCCTGTGAAATCTCCCCGGCAGCGGAGTCCCGGTCCTGACCACGGCATCCTTTGCCATTGCACCTGAGATGGTCAGGGAGAATGTCCAGCCCTACCAGGGGGCCCCAGAGAGCTAAGTTGGTGAACATCACTTGGTGAACCTTTGGGGTTATGGATGTGCCCATGGGGCATATGGGGAAATAACATGAAATAACTATAGATCATAGGCTTTATAAACCAACTTCTAAAAGATTTCCCTACTTGGAGGATCATCCCAGTTAGCGGTTTGGACTTCGTTCACCCAAAGTATAGGTCTGCTGGGTACATTCTCAGCCGTCCCCCTCCCCATTCATATTAGTTACACCCTGATTCTATACTATATGGTTCCAAAGATGTTTTGTCAATCCCCAGTTTCAACCCATGGTTTCTGGAGGAAGTTTAACATTGAAAATATGGGGAAGGGAGTACTAGGGGCTAGAGGAACCCTCTCGTGAAGTCTTTTGGATCAGTGAACCAACTCCAGCGTTTCAAGTGGGACCCGTTTCGGGACCGAAACTGTCCTACTTCGCCTGCTTGCATGCCGGTGGGATTGCGGAAGGCAATTCAATCAACCAATGTGTGTCACAATGTTAGTGCTCCTGGATTGATGTTTCGATCGATTTTAATAGTTACTATGTTTTTTGCCAATCTGAAGTTGCCAGTCCAAATACGATAATGCGTTATCACTGTTTTGTGAGCCAATTGATAAACTGGGTGTCTATTAATTCGGGGCTGACACTATCAACCATTTCTCGGATACCCTCAGTGTTTGGAAAGCTAAGGCTCATACGGGTTGGACTAAAAATAGGATACCCCTAAATCCATATCCTCAACGTTTGGTAAGCTAAGTCTTATATACAATATTATAATATATACTATATAATCATCATCCCCATTCTGTCACGCCCAAGTCATTGATGAATCCCATTTGATGAATCCCCCTGGAACGTCCAATAGAATCGGTATTATTTGACCAACAATGTCCCATGGTTCCCATTATCTCCATTATATACAATCCTTATAATCCCCGACAATTTTTAGGATCCCCAATATAATTTAATATAATCAATAAAATCCTTATTATCCCCATCCCTTCAATCACCAAGACAATTTTGATATAGTAATTAGATGTAATTAGTAATTAGGTAAATCCCAATAAATCCCCCATGGATAGACTGGTTGGTGGTATACCTACCCCTCTGAAAAATATGAGTTCGTCAGTTGGGATGATGACATTCCCAATATGATGGGAAAGTCATAAAATTCTAGATGATTTTCCCATTCATCATGAGGGGGACAGCTACCTCCGGTAACTTTCATCGACAGCACCTTCGAGTCTTGAATTTGGCCGGATGGTAGGAGATCTCGTCACGGCTATGGGCGAAAACCTCGGAAAGATGATTCGATTTTCTTTTTTTTTTGGTGGGAAATAAGAATTTATTGTAATTTTATAGGGTTTAATGGGACGTTGGGGATTTTTTAGGGATTTTATGGGAATTACTCTGGCGTAACGAAAACATGTGGAAAACGCTTGCTCGTTATCCTAGGAACATGATCGAAAAATGCGGGAGCTTCGACCAACATGGTGAGGAGAGACACGTTGAAGAATTCCGCGGAAATAGCCAACAAACATGAGGTTCTCAATCATTGAAACAACATCAACAACAAGGTGGTAATGTAATGTAATGTATAGAATAACCAGGGTTAGCAAAAAATGCCATTTGCCCCAGGTCAATTTTCTATGTACGATTGGTATTCGCCTATGGTCTGGGGGGTGCAGCATTGGAATGACGAGTTCACCTGAACGCAACTGTGGTTTCGTCTTTATGAAACCTTGAATTGGCTCAAGGAACCACCACAAAAAGAAAAACAACTTTATACATAGATTCCCCAAGTAATGTATATTCCAGTGTAGTTTTTTTACCATCTGGTTATTTAACATACAGTAACTATGGAACATCCATTATGAATGGAGGTTTTAATGGGAAAATCATCTGTAAATGGGCCATGGTTTCCGCAGCAAACTGTTAAATAACCAGAGGGTAACATCTTCAGCAAATCCAAGACAAGGAACACATCATCTGGGTAAAATATAATATTTCAATAACCTGACATGTTGGGCTATTTGGGGATGATTCCCCTTATCTAAACCATGATTCCAGGGTTCGGTCGTTCTGAGGTCGTTATCATTGACCCACGTGCTCCGCAGGCCGCCCACGGGCCCAGGATTCAATCTTTGGGATGAACGTGAAATTGACATTTCTGAAGTCTTGACGCAAAAACCGGCTCATAATAATCGAATTGCAACAAATATAAATTCCTAAGTTCCAAAGATATTATAATATATATATATATTATATT